TGGGTATACTAAATTTTTAATAATATTATTATCTATTCCACTGCAAACAAAAATACCAAATTTTAAGTACCAAACTGATTTAGAGCATAAATTAAATGTTTCAAAATAATTGGCAACTCATTTAAGGCCAGACACCACACGTATTTTCGACAGTTTAAATGTTTCTCTACTAGTATGGGTTTAACACTAATTCTGATAGTAACACCATTTAGCTATCTAACCTGAACGTTTCCAACTTCTACAGTCAACGGTAATCCAGGGGCGGAACTACAGTGCCGCCAGACCCCGCATTGCGGGGGGGCCCGGGACGTTTAGGGGCCCGCAGCCGACCATAATCAATTTTTTTACAGTTAAAAAAATAATCTTGCATTTTGACTTGATGGATGTTTTGTCAAAAGAATACTGCAGCTGCGGTTGGATTATCTTCATTGTACAGACACCATCTCAAGTCCTCTTTCTTCTACAATCAAACACGATGTTGTCAGCAAAATTCTTTTGAAAATAAATCCATCGAGTGAATGCTACGCAAACGTTCAAACCACTTCCATGACTTATTTCCCTTTTTAAAATAGTCAAATACATGTGCTATTAAGCACCTTTTAATAGATTTGCACTAAACAAATTAAAAAGCAAGAACTTCTCTTAATTTATTATTTTAAAAAAATACATAATAAAGAATAACAAAGAATAAAAGAAATGTATTTAAAACTAATAATATAAATTAAAAAAACCACAAAAATAAACATAGGGCGAGAAACCATTACACATACACAGCTTTCATGCTTTATATTATTTCGACCGCCTTTTACTTTGATAGAAAAACCAAGTCTTAAATTATTTTTTGAAATTTCGAACAAGCCCTAAATGAGTATTCTATGATGGTATTTTCGTATATATATATATATATATATATATATATATATATATATATATATATATATATATATATATATATATATATATATATATATATAAATAAATAAATTTATATATATATATATATATATATATATATATATATATATATATATATATATATATATATATATATATATATATATATATATATATATGGGGCCCAAAAAATTTCTTTGCGGGGTGGCCCTTTTTTACTAGTTCCGCCACTGCGGTAATCCGTTTATTACGATGTGAAACATGGTACCCCCCCCCCAATCAAATTTTCACACTACTACGCGGACAGCGGCTATCTTAGCGGGTGTGTTACGTGCTTTATTGTTCACAAGATAGCGTAAAGTATACAGCAACATATCGACCAAGCTCTTGTGTACACGCTGGTGTAGCGACCTTTTCTTTTGTTCTACAAATAAGTGAGATGAACGTTGTTTTCTTCAAAGTAAAATTTGATGCCAAACTTTATTTGCACGAAAAAATTATGAATGGGAAGAGATTCATTGCTAAGCTTGACCAATCATATTATAGTACAGTAAATCAAAATAATTCACGATAGGTTGCAACTAACCACGTGTGCTAGGCAGCCATCTTGTTTCTAGATAAACAAAACAATCACATGTCTTCGTTTTTTACCTCATTTGCATATACTCTTCTATTTGTTGTTTTAAAATTATACAACAACATTTAGGTTAATAATTGAAACTTTGCCAAGAAGTGTACTGTTGATTGTCATTGGAACACTACTAAACACCGTTTAGTATTCTTTATACTAAGCTGAAACAATGCGTCATGGACTTGTCTGGCAGTTTGAAGAATGTACTAAGTCCACCCCCTCGTCCCCTTCTTGCTATTCAACCAACGACCAGTTTATAATCTTGTTACATTATGCTGTGATAGGCTTGAACGCGTTCATCAGACGTTACACCGAGTAGGGTTTGTAATTTAACAAAGAAAGATAAAAAAAAATTATAAATGGTAAAAATAGTCTTGTATATGCTAAAATGGCAGAAAAACGTGTTAAGCTAAATTAATTAATTTAATGGTTAAAATAGAGTCCAACATTGACATTTTGCAATTAATTATAATTGAAAACAATAAACATAGCGTTCAATACATTACCATTAGTCCACGATTCGCTTATTATCTAAAGACATAGCCTACTGTAAGACATCATTTTTAATACGAAAAGAAAAATAGCCTATTATAAATATGACAAATCATGTATTACAAATCAGTACAAAAACTAATGTAAAAGTATTGATATAAGTCTAAATTGCTTAGGCAATCTCGCATAGTCAAATTTACATCACTCGTCTACTAATACACATGTATTACAAATCAATACAAAAACTAATGTAAAAGTATTGATATAAGTCTAAATTGCTTAGGCAATCTCGCATAGTCAAATTTACATCTCTCGTCTACTAACACACACATACTTTTACACTCAGAGGCTGCTGATAAGGAACTTAGAATATATACGATACTTAGCAGTCATGTCCAAGCATCGAATGTTATATTGTTTTTTGCAATTTTCTAATGTGGTGTCACCCCAATCCACTTCGGTGGACAGTCTATCTTTAACAATTCTGCTCTCGGGCCTCAAATGATTTCATATAACGTCGAAATAATAAAATGAACTACAGGCAGTGGCTAGGACTGGGATTTCCATCTGTTTACTAATTATTGGAACTTAAAACGCAATTAACATGGAAGACACTCTATTTTAGTGACTGCACTTGTTAAAATCTCAACAAAAGAGATTGCATAAAAACGTTTAAATAACAATCTAATGATGCACTAGAAAGAAGAAAATAAATGATTTTCTTTAAATATATAATAATAATAATACACTATTATTTAAATTACTATAGAGAAAAGCGCGGGTCACTATATTATCTACTAGCCGTCCCGGCCAGGCCCTACACTGGCCTCTATAAATAAACCTATCTGTAAAGGACCATGACTTGTGTGTTTAGTAATCAGCATATACCAAAACCAAAATATTTTATTCATCATTAATTTAGATGATGAGCAATTTAGAAATATTACACTATGGCGATCAAGTCTATTTTTTTCCCTATATTCCTTTGTAATCACGGGTCCGTCCGCTGTCCGCTGCATACATACATACAGAATTGAACTTTATATATTAGATTGGATACTTTTACTAATATTTAGGAAGACACTCACGTTTTTCTTTATAGTAATTTGAATAGTGTAATATATATTATCTATATACTACTAAAACTCAAGTTTGTTTACATGTTTGAATATTTATTTGTTTGTTTGTTTTTTATTTGTTTGTCTGATTGGCTACTGGAGAGAATCTGCACTATGTGAAGAGCTGTAAAATAGTATGTATGTAGAGAACAATTTTTGTTTTCAGACAGACTGTTAATCACAAATTTATTTAAAGACGTTAATTAATTTATTGATTTTTTCATTGGTAGATTAACCACATTAATTATAAAAGTTTCAAACAGTGGCTTTACTTTGACTTAATAGTGACGTCACATGATTTGTTTACTTTTTACATCAACAATGGCCTGCTTCTATTGAAGAAGATTGTGTTCCCATTCCAATGTTTAACGCGCTCTAAAGCTAATTGGTGGTGTCACCCGGTGCGGTCCGCACCCCCGCCCCCCCCCCCCTTCGCTATGCCTCTGCTCATAGTATTAACTTATACCACAAAAACATCAGTGACGTCACGAGTCTAGACAGCTAAGTTGTTAGTGTAACAGGCTTTCATGCGGGTGGCGCGGGCTCTAGACATATCACGTCAATGTTACATTTTTTTTTCAATTTTTTTTTAATGTGAATGATAAGTTTGACTATCTGAACTTGGCGAGATACAGGGCAGGTGAAGTCGAGTTCAACTGTTTCTTTGTCCTAAGCATATGAATGGATAGTGTGGTCAGAGACATGCTCTGCCGAAAAAGTTTTTTTAAACGACAAAAACATGTTGTCTGAGACTTGGCGGGACACTGGGCAGGTGAAGTAGAGTTGAGTAGATCACCTTTGACGTCAGTATAAGAAGGGATAGTGTGGTCAGACCAATGCTAAAATGATAAAAAAACAACCGTCTTTTGAATGTGGGGTCTGGTTTTTGTGACGATAAGTGACAGACGTGATGTTTTTTTATGGATGACCCCCGAAACCCACAGTTATCCAAGGGATGACAGGTAAGTCTAGTATATTTTAAAAATCCTTTATGTTCTCCTTTTTAGTCCATTATTACATAAAGATTATTATTAAAACTTTTTCTATGCAATTTTTTTTAGTACTTTAAAATTTTTAATACAATTGTTTCATGACAAAAATCTACTGGGCACCAAATGAACTTTACAACGTGAGTATAATAATGCGGAAAGAGTAGCACTAGGCTTCCTACTAATTATAGAAAATTTTAATTAATTTTAAAAATTAATCAGGCACGTACCCACTTCGGAACGAATCTGTCTGTGATAAGTGCCCGAAATTTCGCTCAATTGTTTCGTTCTATAACGAAAGATAGAAAAAAATGACTACAGACCGACTGACTTGACGAGGAAACAAATTATATAAAAGCTTGTAAAAATCAAGCCAAATCTTATTTTAATAAAATTATATCATAATTTTACTGATTCCATTCCTAAGAAAGATGTATGTGAAATATTTAATACTTGAAATTGTTCAGTAATAAAAAAGTGTTTTGTTCTTAAATAAATTATTTTTATTTTTTTCTTCATATATATTATGTTAAGAAAATTGAATATTTTTCTACATATAAATATGCATTTAAATGTTCTACACTCACAGTTCGGATCTCGGAAAACCTACAAATTAACAAACATACAAGTTGATCAACATAGCTGAGCTTTGGTAGTAGAGTCTATATATAAATACACAGTACGGCTAAGATTAAATGAGACAACATAATAACTAAATTGTTGCTCCAATTTATATGAATTGCAGGATAAGTGAAACCTGATATGGAAAAAAAAGAATAGAAAGTGTGTAATTGGATAAGAAGTGTGACATTTTTTGGTCTTTGTTTAATAAACAGTTGGGCAAGTGAAAAAAAAAATAAACACATAAACTTGTAAAATATTGACCACTTTGTTTATTCCTTGATGTCAATAGATCGGTTTTATTTTCATTTCCGTGAACGTAGCTGACTCGTTTTGACCTGTAGTTGGGACCCAGATGAGACCCTTGCCGGACTCGTCACTTTTCCAAAGTCCGTTCAGATTGGCTTCATGACAGTCGCTGTACCACCAGCCTCCGTTGAAATGCCGTGCACAATGATCTTTCTCTTCGGTATCGTTGTCTCGGTCGAACGTGCTGAACTTTTGATCGTTGTGTAGTTTAGTGAGAGCATCCCCAGCATTGCCTGAGTAACCGCTGACCTTCAGCCTATAACCTTCTAACTCTGAATACAACTGAAACCGGGCATATTTCGCGTAGTAGTTTTTGCCGTTAAATTTGAAGTCGATCCTCAGTGCGTGTCTTCTGGATATCGTCAACTGGTGGATTTTCTCGTTGCCCAGGTAGAACTCACCTTTATTGAAATCTCCAAACCCGAACTTGTACTCCTCCCACCCCCGATAGAAATCCAAGTGTCCGTCAAATCTTCTCTGGATCACCACCCAGCCTCCCCTTTCTGTCTTGGTGTCGCACATAACTTCTAGTCCATTTGCCAACAAGACAACTGTCCTTGGGAACTTGCTCTTTACAGCTTTGCAAGATCCCGGGGCATTGCAAACAAAACTGTTTGATTTTATCGTGTTGGTGTAGTCTAAACATAATATACAATTATAAGTAGAAGTTAAAATATAATAGAACAAAAATTCTCTGCATTAAAACAAATATGATGATAAGTATTTTCAGGACCAATAAACTAATGGAAAACGAACGAAATTCTGAGGACAGAGTATGTCGAAAACTATTTAGGGCAAAACTAGTTACGACAAAATATCTTTTAAAAAGTAACAAAGAAAATGTTTAAGAACTAATTATATAGAAAAAAATATCTCAAGATTAAAAATATCTCAAGACAATTTTTGAAAGACAGTATATCAGAAGACAAATTAACTAAGTTACCCTTAAAAAATTAAATATATAATTACAATGTAATGTATGTAGTTAATCTTTCTAAACATTGCATGTATTTATGCTTCATTTTCTATTTAAAAAAACGCCTTTAATTAAAAGATACATACCACTAGAAATTTTGGCTATAAAAATTTGAGACATTAGGATCGTGGAGAAAACCCAAACCGTATGTAGGAACATTCTCTTCTGGCGAGATCTACCAAAATGTGAACTGTGGGGATTGAACACGAAAGTATTTGAATTAGATTTTCTTAAGCGTTGACATATTTTTGCAGTGGCGTTCTTGTCGACTGCTGCAATCACTAGCAATGGTTGTAAACGAACGTTGTTTAACTTTTTTTAAATGCATTAAAAACGCTTAAATAACAAGTTTTTATGTAATAATGCAAAAAATTATTTTCTTTAAATATATTCACCACTATTTAAATAAGTATAATAATTTATTTTATCTTTTTTAGTGCATTATTACTTAAAAGTTTTTATCTAAAACGTTTTTTATGCTTTTTTTGGTATTTTAAATTGTTTTAAAGAGTTTCAAGGGTAAAAACTATTAATTAATTATTACTTGGGCATCCAATTAAGCCAAATTTTATGCCATATTGCATAGTTTTCAAGTATTGACCAACGTGCCGAAATTCAGTGAAATTGGTCGATTAGAAATGCCCGAAATCTCGCTCGCCCGTTTCGATCTACGGCGGCAGAGTGACAGAGGAAGCTAATTAAATAAAAGTTTGTAAAAACGAATACTCAATTTTGTTTTGAAACGATACATACCATGCAAAAGAAAATTGCAGGAAATTAACAGGAAGATGTTGTTTGTATGCAGGAAACAGGTTTTGAGCTTAATGTCATTTTTCTAAAACATCTGCTGATGAAAAAAAAAATTAATGTCCGGAAAATTGGCTATGAGGTTTAGTGCTGAACTTTGTCAGCAATACCATATTAGGTTGTAAAACTTTGTTATGATCTAACACTCTACACTGTCACATCGTGACTCATAACTACCACAGATTCACTCTACATCACTTTGTAATGACCCAACACTGGTTAACATTAATATTTGATAATCCAAATACGTTTTCAAAGTGTTTTTTTAGCAAAATAAAATTTTTTTTTTTTTACTCACCCGGCCTTTCTGAAATCATATATATATATATATATATATATATATATATATATATATATATATATATATATATATATATATATATATATATATATATATATATATATATATATATATACATACATATATATATATATATATGTATATATATGTATGTATATATGTATGTATATATATATATATATATATATATATATATATATATATATATATATATATATATATATATATATATATATATATATATATATATATATATATATATATATACACATATACACAAGTTCGAATCCGGGTTCAAGTCAGTAGAAAGTCCCTGAGTCCACCCAGCTAGGTATCTAACTCAAAACTGGGAAACCAAAAGGCGGCAGGGCATTGAACTAACCACACTATCGCTTCATATGCCGAGGCCTCTGAAACAGATGAACTCTACTTCATCTGCTTCATTTGTTTTGGTCACGAACGAGAAAAAGATGAGGATGATATATGTTCCTAACGAATGTACCACAAAATCAAAACGATGGTTTCATGACAATTACAATTTTAAAGGTAGACGCAGGTCAAAGAGGTTGACATCTAATTGCCTATCCATCTGTTCATTGGGTCACAGATTTTAATTTAATTAATATAGTTTGATCGATTCAGTCAATTTCAATCTTGTTAATTCGATACAGGCAATTAAATCTACATATTAAATGACAGTTAACTAATTGTCCTTTTAATTATTATTCTATTCTGTATTGCAGACTTTTGTAGACTGTAGGATTGAGAGTTTCTTCCAGGGCATCTCTTCGGGGGGGGGGGGGGGGGGCTAAGCCCCTAAATTTTTTTACCGCCCCCCCCCCCCTCGGACGAAAGGAAATTTATATAATTTTTATAGAAAATATATACTTTTAACAGTGTCCGCCCCACCGAAGAAAGTTTACCGCCCCCCCCCCAGAATTTCAAGTGCCTCCCCCCCCCCCACCCGGAGAAAAAAGTCTGGAAGAAACACTGGTAGGATGTACTTGTAAGCTAAGAAAGCTAGAGCTTTGGCTTTGCAATCTCGGGTCATCCAAGAGTATTTTAAAAACATTGATGGGAATTTCGTTGACATTTAGTTTTTACCATTTATTTTTAATTTAATTTTTTCTCTTTCTTTTCTAGATGCAAAGATTTTTTTTCCAATAAAATTCTTTTCTAAAAATGCAATTATTTGGCACTGCAAAATTTATCTCGACTTATAAAGGACCCCATATCGAAATTTGTTTATAACCTTATCAACTCTAAATCCAGTCCTGTCTGTGACAACAGTGTTAAAATAGCGGTGCCGTTATTTCCACATTAAAAAAATGATATGTACTTCACGTCTATTTGTGTTTGTTGTCTTAGAATGTTTGGTAATTTCTTGTTTTTATTTTGGCTAGCCATGTCTATGCGAGTATTAATCTAATATTTTGTTTTTTTTAAATTTATAGTGATTGCTATGGATGGCTCCTATGGTCGATAAAGCTTCTCTACTCTTATATTAAAAATTCAAATTCAACTTTCTCTTTTAATTAGTAGTGTCATTTTGACTGAATTGTTTGGGGAGGAAAATGAGAAACTTCCCATTTTTGATGCGCAGTCTCACAAAATTAAATACATTATAGGTATTACAATATTTTCTCTATACATTGTAAACGAGAAAGAAAAACAACAATAAGCTATTGTAAATTGTTACAGCGAATTAGAAGTATTAATATAATTAATATGAACAGTTGGGCAAGCTAATAATCAAAAGCCAATGTGCGCACTTCTCTCTCTCTCTCTCTCTCTCTCTGTCTCCCTCCCTCTCTCTGTCTTTCTCTGTTTTCAAAAATTTTCCAAGGCTATGAGATCAATATCTTCAGCGATATATGGAGAACTTACTTGAAAAATAAGTCATTGAAAGTTATGTCGCCATATCGCATCCAATCGCGTTACTCGGTGGTAAAAAAAAACATATAGGCCTATACGGTCTACACTGTGAATTGGTTCTCACTCGCAAGCATTCAGATAACCAGCGATAAATGCTAACCCTAGCAATCAACGGAAAAGTTCTTGACCTTCTTTAAATTAGGTTGTCGCTTGATCTATTTTTTTTACCCTCTATATGGTGATGATGGCGTCCGAAAACGACTTTCCGTTTTTTTAACAATGTTTAATGGTCATTTCAGAAATGAATACTAATAATCGTTATTTTTACAAGCTTTTATTTAACTCACTTCCTCTGTCGTCAGCCGCCAGTCTGTCTAGATCGAAACGCCTGAGCGAAATTGCAGACACTTTTAACTGTCAGATACGGTTCGTAATTGGTACGTGGGTCAAGACATAAAGACAATGCAACATGACATTAAATTTGACTTAATTGGTAGCCTGATTATTTTCTATGAATTATTGAAACTTTTGTCCGAATTAGTAGGTGCTCTAGCGGTAGAGAGCTGGACTGCTAACCCGTAAGTCTAGAGTTCGAATCCGGGTCCAAGTCAGTAGACCGTCCCTGAGTCCACCCAACTCTGATGGGTACCTAATTCACGTTAGGAAAGGAAAGGCGGCTGGGCATTTACCTGTATGCGGCTGGGCATATTGCTGACCACACTATCTCTTCATATGCCGAGGTCACAGAAACAGGTGAACTCAACTTCACTTGCCCCATAGACCGTCACGTTTGAAAGGGAAACTACTTCATTTACTCAATTTAAGACTATGACTGTGTGTCTACTAACATTAAATATTGCAATCTACCAAACTATTTTGTTTAGAACTTAAGCTCTATATAATTTTTACAATAGCAAATAATAACTTAAAGTTGTATTTATATGTAAGCGGTCAGCCTAATGTGCAGGAATTTGAAAGGAATGTAAAGTTAAGCAACGAATTATCTCCCATTTGAAAATGCAAACAACAAAATTGTATTTCAAGGGAAATAACTTTCACATGAATAGCTAAATTAACCAAGTGTAACTAAGATATGTTTGAAAAACAGAAAGCAGATAATTAGAACTTTTATTTATATTTGAAATTTCGTCTATCAGAAACAGTACTCAAGTTATACGCTTTTAAAAAAAAAAAAAAGTAGAATACCGGTTACCGGGAATCGTTGAAACGTTCATACAGAACAGCTAATCTATATATATAATTCTCTTCCTAGGAGCCCCTTCTCTTCCTCTCTAGGCATATCGCTACCACCCCACATGGTCTGGTGAGCTATGGTTCACGCTAACGGTTTACAATCGTAGAATCGGGTTTAGTGATGGCTATTAGGGGAAGATAATTTAGTTTGATAGTTTGAAACTATTTTAAACTTAGGGGAGATAACTAAGAGGAGGCTGCTTTAACGAGCTACTGATAGTGTTTTAAAGCAAATGTTTTCAGTGGCAGCATTGTTACTGTCGAATTCACTAATTATAAATTACCGAAAAGTAGACAACAAAACAACTAAATAGTGGCGTATGATACTTATATGTGACCTCATCAACCTAGCTGTTCACACACATACACACACAGACACACACACATAATATATATATATATATATATATATATATATATATATATATATATATATATATATATATATATATATTTATTTATTTATTTATATATAAAAGAGAGAGAGAGAGAGGGATAAGACAGATACAGCGAATTAGAAGTATTAATATTGTTATTGGTCTTTGTATTACGGACAGTTGGGCAAGTGAACACATAGCATATGAAACCCATACAAGTGTAAAATATTTTTAAATTCGTTTATTCCTTGATGTCAAAATTACATGCATTACTTGTTTAAATCTGCCTTATTTTCATTTCCGTGAACGTAGCTGAGTTGTGAAAACCTGTAATAGGACACCAATTGAGACCCTTGCCGAGCACGTCACTTCCCCAAAGTCCGTTCAGATTGGCATAATGACAGTCCTTGTACCACCAGCCTCCGTGAAAACGCTTGGTGCAATTAAATTGTGTGTCTCTGTCGAATGTGCTAAACTTTTGATTGTTGTGTCGTTCAGTGAGAGCATCCCCAGCATTGCCTGAGTAACCGCTGACCTTCAGCCTATACCCTTCAATCTCTGAACACACCTGAATCCTGGCATATTTCGCGTAGTAGTTTTTGCCTTTAAATGTGAAATCGATCCTCAGTTCATGTGGTCCTGAAGCTGTCATTGAATGGATTTTCTCGTTGCCCAGGTAGAACTCACCTTTATCCAAATCTCCAAACCCGAACTTGTACTCCTCCCACCCCCGATAGAAATCCAAGTGTCCGTCAAATCTTCTCTGGATCATCGTCCAGCCTCCCCCCTCTGTTTCGGTGTCGCACATCACCTCTAGTCCACTCGCCAACATGACAACTACTCTTGGTAAGTCGCTCGTCACAGCTTTGCATGTTTCCTGGTCTGATAAATCAATTTCCAATGTTCTAGTTTTGAGGCTATCTGAACAATTCAAAGATTATAAATAGAATTAAAAATACATCAGAAAAAAACATATCCGGATAAAAATATTTTTATATTATTTTTAATTTTATAAGTTGATCATCTTTTGTTTTTTAAAACTAGCCGTGGGAACCTGGCCCTGCACAGTCCTCTGTGAAAAACTATCTTTAAAGGACATTGACGTTTGAGTTTATTAAGCAGCATATAACAGGTTTGACAAAAGAACACATAACCCTAAACCCAACTCCAACTTTAAACTTAATACTAACTACGATCAAACAAAACCAAAACACAAATCCAAATATAACGCAAACACAAACACGAAAGCAAACACAAACGCAAACGAAAACACAAACCCAAACCCAAAAAAACAAACACAAACGCAAACCCAAAGCAAAACACCAACGCACACACAAAAGCAAACGCAAACACAAATAAAACCCAAATCCTAACACAAATCCAAACACAAACTCAAACGCAAACTCAAACTCAAATGCAAACGCTAACGTTTGTCCCGGTGCGCCAAATAGCACTGTTAGGACGTCGGAGGACGCCCTGGATTTGATTTAGCGAAGGACCATGGTAACCGTTCTTATCCATTGTCTATCACACAGTATAAAACGATCGTAGGCTCCATATATTTCATAGGATAGCCCAGGGCGCCAAATCGCACCTTGTCGCGGCGCCGGCGGACGTGCCTAATTAAATTTAGTGAACGGCTATAATACCCCCAGCTTATCCGCAAACGGAAAGATGGAAGTAACGTAGAGGATATTTAGGAGCGGCTTCTAAACTGTTATTGATTTTAAAAAATAATTATTAAACAGTACGTTCAGTGTATTCAATAAGTAAAATGCATTATTTTAAATATCCGTGTTTTACCTACCTCATTGCACTTTATCTATCCATGCTAATTATATAATTATTTTTTTTCCAACACTAACACAAACTAATAAAAAGTTTTTTTCCCCGATGTAACGTTTTTTTAAAGATTTTTTTGGTGATCTATCAAGGAAAGAAATTGGTACAAAAGGAACAAAAGGAAATACTTTTTACTCTTTTTACATCTTTGTGAACGACGATACATTTTCTTTGATTTTGTTTATCCCGCATGAAGTTAATTAAAATGATAAATTTGGCAAATGAAACTAGTTTCAATAGTACTGTATAATTTATTTTCTACTTTTTAGTGCATTAGTACATAAAAGCTTGTTATTAAAACGTTGTTTTTTTTATGAATTTTTTTTCAGTACTTTACATGTTTTATTTACAATAGTGTTACATGACTAAAAACCATTGCGCGTCTATTGAACGTGATGGCGCAGCTATTGAACCTGATTGCGCAGCTATTGAACGCGATGACGCGTGTGGGGTGGTTGGATAGACATGCCTACTAATTCGGTCCAAATTTTAATTAATTCATAAAAATTAATTAGGCATCCAATTAAGTCAAATTTAGTTTCAGATTGCATTGTCTTCATGTCTTGACCCACGTGCCAACTGTGAATTGTATCGGTCAAGTAGAACTGTCCGAATTTTCACTCCTGCGTTTCGATCTAGACTGACGACAGACTGTCGACTGAGGACTGACGACAGAGGAAGTGAGTTAAATAAAAGCTTGTAAAAATCATTTTAGTTAAAGAATACAAATGGGGCGGCGTGGTCGATTGGTAAACCTCATTGTTGCTAAACCGATAAGTCTTGAGTTTGATCGCTCGGGCAGATGAGGACTGACCGCCAGGGACAGTAAATCTTCTAGGAGAGAACAACTCCAAAATCAAACACCAATTCAAAAAGAAAAGCAGGCTAAAATCGGAGCCAACAAATTGCGCATAACCAATTGACACGTATACGTAATTGTGTTGAAGGGAATCTCTTCCAACACCAAAAATTAAGAACGAAGAAGAAGAAGACAAACCTACCTCTGGAAAGATCAGCAGTAATCATTTGAGACACTAGGATCGTGCACAAAACCCAAACCGTACGTATGAACATCGTCTAATTGCGAGGAATACCAACGTGTAAACTTGTTTGATTGAACATGTACGTTTATTATTGGCCTTTTAAAAAAAAACGTTGACATAGTTTTGCAGTGGCGTACTTGTCGAATCGCTACTGGCTTGAATGGGGGACAAGGAATAAATAACAATTGTGTAAGCAAACGTAGTTTAATAAAAGAAATATTTCAATTCCACTTTACAACTATACAAAAGATACGAACAAAAATTGCAAGAAATTAACAGGGAGATTTTCTTTGTATGCAGATTACTACTTGTCGAGCTAGATGTCGTTTCTCTGAAACACCTATTTTGTCAGGAGATCATTTGTCCAGAGATCAATTGTCTGAGAGATATTTTGTCTGGGATATTTTGTCTGAGATCCTTTGTCCGGAGATAATTTCAGTAAGGGATTATGGAGAAGGGGAGGGGGGGGGGGGTGAGCAGCCATTGAATCCCAATTTGTAGGAGCCCCAAATATACTGTTTAATTGTTTTCACGATAAAAACTTCAACATTCAACATTTGAACATGAAGCTCCATTTTTTTCAAAGTATCTAACACATGCTGACATGCACACACTTAAGTATACATACAAGATGTCACCACCTCTTATCGATTCAGTCAATTTCAATCCAGTCTATTCGCCTCTAGCCCATGACATCCCCATTGTTAAATGACAGTTAACTAATTGTACTTTGAATTATTACGCTGTGCTGTACTGTAGCCTGAGACCAGTGTAAGATTTATGTATAAGCTAAACAAGCTATAGCTTAGCCCCCCCCCCCTCTTTCTTGGATTCTCCAAATGTATTTTTAAAACCTTGATGGGAATGTTGTTGGCATTTAATTTTCAGAATTTATTTTTTATTATTTTTTTGTATAAATCGTCGTCAAAGATAGTTGTCTTTCTTTTCCAGTTGCAATAATTTTTCGTCGATAAATTATTTTTTTTAAAAAATACAATTATTTGGCACTGCAATATATCATCTCAACTTATAATGGACCCCATATCGAAAGTCGTTTATGACCTTTTCAATTCTAACTCGGGTCTTGCTGTGGCAATGGTGTTAAAATATCGGTTCCGTTAAGTCCAATTTTTTTAAAAACAAATATGTAGGCCCTACTTCCCATCTATTTGTCTTGACATACTTGTCCTGATATATTTTGTTTATGAGATCATTTGTCCTTGAGATCATTTGTCCTGCGATCATTTGTCCTTGAGATCACTTGACCGTTAGATATATTATCTAATATATTTCTTCTGAGATCATTTGTTCTAATTTTATTATTTCAGTAGCCGATTAAAGAGGAAAGTGGGCAAAGAGGACTGCAGGCAGGCGATCCCGTTTTTAGGAGCCCAAAAATGTACTGCTTAATTGTTGCTTTTCACGATAAAAATTTAAGTTTTAATGTTTGCATCACAAGTTTCATTCTTTATCCAAAGTATCTAACACGTGCACACGCTCAAACTAGACATTGTTTATTTAAAGTCGACGCTCCCTAAAATAGCATAGGGCGGACCAGCAATCGCTTATCACAATGTAGTGGGTTGATTTTTGCGTAAAAAAAAACACAAACAGCAGCCGAATGGTGACAACAGATTGACCCATCTTGAAAAAAAGTAATTGAAAGTTATGTCGCCAGATCGCATCCGATCGCGTTACTCGGTGGTAACAAAAAACATAAAATATCACTATATACGGTCTACATTGTGAATTAGTTCTCAGTCGCAAGCATTCAGATAACAAGCGATAAATGCTAACCCTAGCAATCAACGGAAAAGTTCCTGACCTTCTTTAAATTAGGTTGTCGCTTGATCTATTTTTTTTACCCTCTATATGGTGATGATGGCGTCCGAAAACGACGTTCCGTTTTTTTAACAATGTTTAATGGTCATTTCAGAAATGTATACAAATAATCGTTATTTTTACAAGCTTTTATTTAACTCACTCACTTCCTCTGTCTGTCTGTCTAGATCGAAACGCCGGAGAGAAAATTCGGACAGTTCTACTTGACCGATACGATTCACAGTTGGCACGTGGGTCAAGACATGAAGACAATGCAATCTGAAACTAAATTTGACTTAAGTGGATGCCTAATTAATTTTTTATGAATTAATTAAAATTTGGACCGAATTAGTAGGCATGTCTATCCAACCACACCACACGCGTCATCACGTTCAATAGCTTCGCCATCACGTTCAATGGCTGCGCCATCACGTTCAGTAGGCGCGCAATGGTTTTTAGTCATGTATTTCTATTGTAAATAAAAGATATTAAGTACTGAAAAATAAATTCATTAAAAAAACGTTTTAATAACAAGCTTTTATGTAATAATGCACTACAAAGTAGAAAATGAATGATAGACTACTATTTAAATAACTATAAAGAAAAGCGAGGGTCACTTTAGTATCTATTGGATACCTTTGCTAATGTTAAGGAAGACACCCACGCTTTTCATTCTAGTTATTTAAATAGTAGTCTATTATTAAAACGTTTTTTTATGAATTTTTTTTACAAGCTTTTATTTAACTCACTTCCTCTGTCGTCAGTCTGTCTAAATCAAAACGCCTGAGCGAAATCGCAGGCACATCTAACTGACAGATACGGTTCGTAGTTGGTACGTGGGTAAAGACATGAAGACAATGCAATAAGACATTAAATTTGACTTAATTGGTAGCCTGATTAATTTTTTATGAATTAATGAAAATTTTGTCCAAATTAGTAGGTTATCTCATCAAACTATTCCGCGCTATTTGACACGCGTCATCACGTTCAATTGGGCGGTCATCGCGTCCAATAGGTGCGCTATGGTTTTTAGTCATGCAACTATTCTAAATAAAACATGTAAATTACTAAAAAAATTAATTAAAAACTTTTTAATAACAAGCTTTTATGTAATAATGCACTAAAAAGTAGAAAATAAATTCTACACTACTGTTTAAATAACTATAAAGAAAATCGTGGGTCTCTTCCTAAATATTAGTAAAGGTATCCAATTGATACTAAAGTGACCCGCTTTTCTTTATAGTTATTTTAATAGTAGTGTATAATTTATTTTCTACTTTTTAGTACATTATTACATAAAAGCTTGTAATTAAAACGTTTTTTATTAATTTTTTTGCGTAATATTCAACGATACCGATCTAGTTTTAACAATGGACGATTAGTGTTCGGTGCAAGCTTGCTGTAATATATTGAGAATTGTGAAGTCAAGGGAACTCACTCTTCTTGTATTAGTCTTATAATTATAATGTTGTTTTGAGTGATGTCCCTGGTGTATATATATGTCAGGTGACTTCCTGTTCCGTCATGGTAGCTGAATAAAAGACTAGTTAACAATCAACGTGGTTTTATCGTCAGTGTATCATTAATAGAAACATCAATCTATCACACTTGCAATTTGTACTTTTTTTTTTGTCTAATCGCTGAGAATATCGAGCGAAACATAATAAAAGTAAGCAGAACGTGCTTCATTTAATATTGTTTTAAACTTACTCAAAAATGTTGTAAGCTATAGAAAATTATATGTATTGAGTCCTACTAAAATAATGTCATTATTGTTTTTTAAAAGCATGCAGGATAAAAACAAAACATACAAAAATTAACCTGATCAAGTCAACAGATAACTGGGCCCGTCCATTTTGCTTGCCGTGTATTTGAATGGGAAGAAATCTAGCAGACGACACATTTCTGCTGAACGGCGGGGAACGGTCGATCGCGTCATAACAAACTCACCCAAGATATCCCTGAGTTTCAGTCATATCTTTGTAGCCATTTTAAAAACAAACAAGGTTTTTCAAAAATCATTTTCTAGGCTACCGATTAAATTTCATACATAAAATTGGTATCAAATTAAAGGTAAGTAAATGCAGTTTTTAATTCTTTAAATCATTTTGAACAATAACGAAGTTTAAAATCTTATTTTAAATTGTGTGAAACTGACAAGCCATTTTATTTACCAACCAAATGCCACAAAAATGTGGCAGTTTAAATAAAGCGATGCTCCCTAAAATATTATACATTTTATTTCTGACACACACTTCAGTGAATCAACTAGTTTCAGGAAATTTTTTCGATGTTATTTCGATGTTTAAAAAAAAAATATATGTAGGTCCTACTTCTCATCTATTGTCTTGATATATTTTGTTCTGATATATTTTGTCCTGAGATCATTAACCGTTTGTCTTGTTACCTGTAGAACACCACTCGGCGACTGGCGTGGTGTCACGGACTTAGAATGGTGTTCTTGGGAGCAGTGTTGGCGCCAGGTCATTTAGCGCCCTTGGCAAAACTTATTAAAACGCCCCCTTAATTAATTACTAAAACATACGTATAAGAAAACAATTAATTAAGAGTAACATATCAAATTTTACTTGCCTCCTTCGTCTTAAAAATGTGTACTAATTCCTTCAATTCCAGTTTGCAGGCGTAATTACATTTTATTGAAATTGTTGCTTAGTCCACGAGTCTACTTTGTACTTTACTTAGCCCCCCCCCCCCCCCCCCCCCACTCACTTAGACATTTTTTAAGTGCCCCCCCCCCACTCCCGGAAGAAAAAGGTTTGGTAAAAAACCCACTGAAAAAAAAAGTAATTAAATTTAAAAATGCATTGTTAAAATATGTGTTAAATTTTAAGAATAAAGTCATAGATGTCAAATAAATAATTGAATACAAAAAGATCTAATGTAGAGTTATTTTAGGGCTGTGGTTAAGGGGTAAGTCATCATGGGATAGCGACTGTGATTGTGAAGGTAATGTTTGTGACATATAAGGAAGTAAAACATAAACGAATAAAAAATTAAAAGAATAAATTTACGGCGCCTGAAATAAACTTCACTATGAACATTACCGCTAATGACAAAGTCACGCGACTAGAAGTGGTCCTAGACTGATTACAAACGTTGCAGATTAATGGGGAGAAACTAATTAATCGTAGAATTAGCGAGACTGTCGGGTAAAATCAGGTCGGGGGAGCGGGAGGTAAGGTATTTTTATCAGCGATACCCTCCCCATTCCCCCCACCCCAACCACACATGTTCTCCATCGTACATGTGATTTTTCTTTTCTTTTTTTTGTTTTTTGTTTTGTTTTTTTGAAATCGTATCCATTGTTTCTTTATGCGTAAAGGGGTATAGGGGTTCGGATCCTTAGGGGGACTGGACAACATGAGGGAGGGGGGGGGGGTTGCCTGTGGTCAGTGGGGTTTAAACTGAAGTAGCTCGTGTCTGCCCTGGCGTAATGCTGAGACGTAATGGTCATTGCTACTGTCGGATTAAGTTGTATCAATCCCCAATTTATTTTAACAGAAAATGTTTCTCTTTGATCGCACCTACATCGTATTTGTATTGATATTCTCTATAACAGCAAAGTTATAGGGCTGGTAAGTAGGTCACCAACCAGTTCTACGACTCATGCAGGTTTTATTAAGCCGTAGAACTGGTTGGTGACCTACTTACCAGCCCTATTGGAAGCTATATCTAGATTTACTATTGACGTGCTAAAAAAAGAACTTGGGGAAATCAATTTACGTATCCCGTTACATAAATAGATATTTGTGTAGCTGTCTCAAGGGAGACAACAGACCGTATTAGTCTCGTGAGAAGAAAGCCAAATGTGGTGAAACAAGAAAAAAATGGTGTAAGGGGGGTAACTCTATACAAACAGGTTGTCCCCCTTCAAAAGACGAGCTCCGATAACAAACGGTCCAGGGAGGTGGCGGTATCGATGATGAGTCAGACCACGTCTTGATATCGATCCATTGTTTCAAGGTTCAACACCCGGTGGGGGAGGGGGAGAAATTAGGGGGGGGGATATGCGGTGACATTGTGTGAAGGGAGGGAGGGGGTGGGTGGGGTGGGTGGGTGAGGGTACAACACATGGTACACAGATGTCCGCATAAAACATTTCCAGTCATAAAAAGTGTATACGTGATATATATATATAAATATATATATATATATATATATATATGTCACAGACTGTATAATTATGTATCCTTATTATATTGTGTTTTGCATGAATGAAGAGTACCTGGCTAGCGGAAGGACTGTCTGAGCGATCGTCATGTGTTGTTTCATGCTTTTGGGTGAGATCGCTCATGTACGTAAGGGGAGAGAAAGTGGTGAATAAAAGGGAGAGCAAAAAGGTGAACGGGTGTTGTGTGCTAGAACTTGAACCTGAGGACTGTGGCTGTGAATGTAGGATGTTACTACGACACTTTGTTTCTTGACTGTGATTGTACTTATACCAGTTGTGACCATGGATTTACTATGGGTCTATTAATTCTCTGTACAAAGTGTAAATAAAGTTATTGTTTCACAACTACTGTTGCTCGTATGAGTATATTGAAGAACCCACAATAACAACAAAGAATTCATGTTGTTACATATGGTGTCAGAAGTGAGCGTCTACTGTTACATATGATGTCAAAAGTGGTTGAAGAAGTGGTGCTACTGTTACTGATTCTACTGTTACATTGTCAGAAGCAATTGAAGAAGTGATGTTGTTACATTGGTAAATTATATTGAAGTCTGAAATCGTCAACGAAGTTACAGTGTTACTACAAGTGATCAAGAATTGTCACATTATCATTGTAAGCAGTTTTCAACGTTTTTGAAGTGGTCTTCCACTGTTTACCAAGTACGTCAAGTTCTTGAAAGTCATCTATCTACACTCAAGTCAGAAGGGTTGCTGTAGTCAAGTCAGACGTCTTGTTCAAGTCAAGTCATCAACGTGATAATTTTTATCACCTTATTTCGATATTGTCTCACCAATGTCGAGTAAATATCGTCTGTGTGTTTTTTCTGTTTGGATTTAGCCGATCAAGTCTTAGTGTTTCTTTTCTACTGTTTGGATTTAGCTGTTCAAGTTTTTTCTATATGGATTAGCTGTTCAAGTTTTTCTACTGTTTGGATTTAGCAGATCAAGTTTATTTTTGTAACTGTTCCTAAACTGTTCCTAAAGATGTCTTATCTAAAACTGGACAAATTTCTACTCTGTAACAGGCTACTAGAACTATTTTGAATTTTTTCAACTTTTTGGAATCAACAAAGTGAACTATTTTTGTACTATATATGTACTATGAACTTTTCTTGGATTACTAGATGTCTCTAATCAACTGAACAAAGCCAGAATACAAGAAAGGGTATTGTAAATTAATTAACATTTATCTATTGTCAACTAATGAATTTATATTTTATGTCATAGAAAATATATCAAAATGTTATGTTTTGAAGAATATCTAGCACTAGCGAGGGCGCAAGGCATTAAGAAGATGAAGAAGCAGATAGCCTGGGCAAACACTCGATTTGACCGAGACATAGAAAAAGCATTAGAAGCATGGGACGAAGAAAATGAACAACCCAGACTAGCTCATGGAAAAGTAATAAGAGAATTAGATGGTGAGACAGAAATAGTGCGTAATAGATCAAGAGCTATTACAGAGGTGCAAAAAGAAGAAGAAATGTCAGATGGAGATAAAGTAGAGGAGACTGTACAACCAAAAGGAAAGAGAAAAAAAAGAAACAGAAAACAGAGAGCAGATAAAAGGGCTGAAACTTTGGAAAAACAAGTTGGCCTACATGAACTAGAATATAAACAAGAACTATTAGAAATGAAAGCTATAACAGACACAAATGAACCAAAATTAGAAAGTGAACAGACAGAATTTAAAGCAGAACTTGAAGAAGTAAATATTGGCAACCTTTGGAATGAAGAACAGAGTAACATAGTCCAGGAAGAATTGAAACCCAAGGATAAAACAGAGGTTGAACTTAATAATGATTTAAAGGTGACAGATACATTAGTATGTCTTAAGATTGACTCTTTTTTGAATGATACGCAGGTACACGAGAATATTATTGAAAGTTGTATCGTAAGTCCATCAGAGAATGGCAGTCAACAAGAAACAAGTCCATCAGAGAATGGCAGTCAACAAGAAACAAGTTCATCAGAGTTCATTTGTGTCTGTTATAGCTTTCATTTCTAATAGTTCTTGTTTATATTCTAGTTCATGTAGGCCAACTTGTTTTTCCAAAGTTTCAGCCCTTTTATCTGCTCTCTGTTTTCTGTTTCTTTTTTTTCTCTTTCCTTTTGGTTGTACAGTCTCCTCTACTTTATCTCCATCTGACATTTCTTCTTCTTTTTGCACCTCTGTAATAGCTCTTGATCTATTACGCACTATTTCTGTCTCACCATCTAATTCTCTTATTACTTTTCCATGAGCTAGTCTGGGTTGTTCATTTTCTTCGTCCCATGCTTCTAATGCTTTTTCTATGTCTCGGTCAAATCGAGTGTTTGCCCAGGCTATCTGCTTCTTCATCTTCTTAATGCCTTGCGCCCTCGCTAGTGCTAGATATTCTTCAAAACATAACATTTTGATATATTTTCTATGACATAAAATATAAATTCATTAGTTGACAATAGATAAATGTTAATTAATTTACAATACCCTTTCTTGTATTCTGGCTTTGTTCAGTTGATTAGAGACATCTAGTAATCCAAGAAAAGTTCATAGTACATATATAGTACAAAAATAGTTCACTTTGTTGATTCCAAAAAGTTGAAAAAATTCAAAATAGTTCTAGTAGCCTGTTACAGAGTAGAAATTTGTCCAGTTTTAGATAAGACATCTTTAGGAACAGTTTAGGAACAGTTACAAAAATAAACTTGATCTGCTAAATCCAAACAGTAGAAAAACTTGAACAGCTAATCCATATAGAAAAAACTTGAACAGCTAAATCCAAACAGTAGAAAAGAAACACTAAGACTTGATCGGCTAAATCCAAACAGAAAAAACACACAGACGATATTTACTCGACATTGGTGAGACAATATCGAAATAAGGTGATAAAAATTATCACGTTGATGACTTGACTTGAACAAGACGTCTGACTTGACTACAGCAACCCTTCTGACTTGAGTGTAGATAGATGACTTTCAAGAACTTGACGTACTTGGTAAACAGTGGAAGACCACTTCAAAAACGTTGAAAACTGCTTACAATGATAATGTGACAATTCTTGATCACTTGTAGTAACACTGTAACTTCGTTGACGATTTCAGACTTCAATATAATTTACCAATGTAACAACATCACTTCTTCAATTGCTTCTGACAATGTAACAGTAGAATCAGTAACAGTAGCACCACTTCTTCAACCACTTTTGACATCATATGTAACAGTAGACGCTCACTTCTGACACCATATGTAACAACATGAATTCTTTGTTGTTATTGTGGGTTCTTCAATATACTCATACGAGCAACAGTAGTTGTGAAACAATAACTTTATTTACACTTTGTACAGAGAATTAATAGACCCATAGTAAATCCATGGTCACAACTGGTATAAGTACAATCACAGTCAAGAAACAAAGTGTCGTAGTAACATCCTACATTCACAGCCACAGTCCTCAGGTTCAAGTTCTAGCACACAACACCCGTTCACCTTTTTGCTCTCCCTTTTATTCACCACTTTCTCTCCCCTTACGTACATGAGCGATCTCACCCAAAAGCATGAAACAACACATGACGATCGCTCAGACAGTCCTTCCGCTAGCCAGGTACTCTTCATTCATGCAAAACACAATATAATAAGGATACATAATTATACAGTCTGTGACACGTCCCCCCTTCAATTAAAATTTTGTGTAACAAAATTTATAAATACAATATTGGTAGGGCAGGATCATGTGCCAGACAACAAAATTTTTATACATCTCAAAAAACATGGAAAAATACATTCTTTGTAGACTAATGCACAAGCATTATGTGTAATGTATTCAAATATGAGAAAGAAAAACATTTCAATTACCAAGTAATTGTATAAACAAGACAAATGAGTTTAGTGAATTACCAAACTATAATACATAGTTGAAATTATCAAAGACTTAATTCAACTCATGAATTAAATAATTATATCCTATGTAGTAAAAAACTTCCTTAGCATCAAGGCATGTTATTACGACGCATGATTAATATACTTTGTTGTCTCCCCTAGTTGACCCATTTCAGACAAATCTAGGTCACAACACAACAACATTGCCTTTCACAGGTATGGCTAACACACAATTCATCATTGAGACTTCCGTCTTATTGTTATGCGGAATAATAGTCTCTAACTTTTACTTGATTTACTTTATTCACTGTTAATTAATAGTATAGAATAGGTTTAACATAATACAGTTTACAATCTTTTGAAATAGTACACAATTTATATTACTGATACAAATTGTTTGATATTTATATATTACAGTTACAGACTGTATAATATTAATAAACTGTAAATTGATAATTTAATCTTAGCACCCTCTATAGCATGAGTAATCGTTCTCGTGCAGTTGACGATGACCTGTATGCCATCTCTCCCTCAAATTGTAGCTTTTAGCTGTGCTACCATAATCATTTCCTAGATTTCGTGTAACTTGTGTTACTTCATTTGTTTTAATATTCTCCTCTGGTTTCTGAACAACGTCAGTGGTTATCTTGCTTTGTGTATGTTGGTTTGGTTCATCAACCAACTCAATATAAATATTATGGCATTGCTTTGGCCTCTCATAATATGTGTTGCGTCGGTAACTTCCATTAGTATACCTATTCACACTTTTGTTATTCTGATTTGAAGTTGATACATTTCTTAAATTACTGTATTTCTCACATGACTTTCTGTGTACATAATTGTTTCTTCTCTGATTTGCCAACCTATGCCAACATTGATTTTGGTAATGACCTGTTTTTCCGCAGTAAAAACATCTAGATTTTGGCTTCTTATAAACATGGTGACTGTATTCATAGTTTGCTAAATTTCTTTTTCTTTCATTCTGTGCATTAATGACATTAATGACATTCTTATTAACATGTTGACTGTATTCATAATTTGCTAAATTTCTTTTACTTTCATTCTGTGCATTAATGACATTGTAGTTTCTAGTTACTGTTTCATCTTTCTTAACTTCCTTGTGCTTCTTTATTGATTCTAATTCACACATAAATTTCTGTGTTAATTTCTCCATTTCTTTGTTAAATTTATTCTTGAGTTCTAGGATATCTTCTTTAAAGTTTGACTCCAGATTTCTAAGTAACTCCTCAATAGGTACGTTCTCTTTATTGTGGCTTATTAAGTTCACTGATTCATTAATCATCATTAGTTTATCATGATTCCTGCCATTCTCCGATGGACTTATTAAATCATCACTGCCATTGACTGATGGGCTTATTAAATCATTTTGACTACCATTCTCTGATGAACTTGTTTCTTGTTGACTGCCATTCTCTGATGGACTTGTTTCTTGTTGACTGCCATTCTCTGATGGACTTACGATACAACTTTCAATAATATTCTCGTGTACCTGCGTATCATTCAAAAAAGAGTCAATCTTAAGACATACTAATGTATCTGTCACCTTTAAATCATTATTAAGTTCAACCTCTGTTTTATCCTTGGGTTTCAATTCTTCCTGGACTATGTTACTCTGTTCTTCATTCCAAAGGTTGCCAATATTTACTTCTTCAAGTTCTGCTTTAAATTCTGTCTGTTCACTTTCTAATTTTGGTTCATTTGTGTCTGTTATAGCTTTCATTTCTAATAGTTCTTGTTTATATTCTAGTTCATGTAGGCCAACTTGTTTTTCCAAAGTTTCAGCCCTTTTATCTGCTCTCTGTTTTCTGTTTCTTTTTTTTCTCTTTCCTTTTGGTTGTACAGTCTCCTCTACTTTATCTCCATCTGACATTTCTTCTTCTTTTTGCACCTCTGTAATAGCTCTTGATCTATTACGCACTATTTCTGTCTCACCATCTAATTCTCTTATTACTTTTCCATGAGCTAGTCTGGGTTGTTCATTTTCTTCGTCCCATGCTTCTAATGCTTTTTCTATGTCTCGGTCAAATCGAGTGTTTGCCCAGGCTATCTGCTTCTTCATCTTCTTAATGCCTTGCGCCCTCGCTAGTGCTAGATATTCTTCAAAACATAACATTTTGATATATTTTCTATGACATAAAATATAAATTCATTAGTTGACAATAGATAAATGTTAATTAATTTACAATACCCTTTCTTGTATTCTGGCTTTGTTCAGTTGATTAGAGACATCTAGTAATCCAAGAAAAGTTCATAGTACATATATAGTACAAAAATAGTTCACTTTGTTGATTCCAAAAAGTTGAAAAAATTCAAAATAGTTCTAGTAGCCTGTTACAGAGTAGAAATTTGTCCAGTTTTAGATAAGACATCTTTAGGAACAGTTTAGGAACAGTTACAAAAATAAACTTGATCTGCTAAATCCAAACAGTAGAAAAACTTGAACAGCTAATCCATATAGAAAAAACTTGAACAGCTAAATCCAAACAGTAGAAAAGAAACACTAAGACTTGATCGGCTAAATCCAAACAGAAAAAACACACAGACGATATTTACTCGACATTGGTGAGACAATATCGAAATAAGGTGATAAAAATTATCACGTTGATGACTTGACTTGAACAAGACGTCTGACTTGACTACAGCAACCCTTCTGACTTGAGTGTAGATAGATGACTTTCAAGAACTTGACGTACTTGGTAAACAGTGGAAGACCACTTCAAAAACGTTGAAAACTGCTTACAATGATAATGTGACAATTCTTGATCACTTGTAGTAACACTGTAACTTCGTTGACGATTTCAGACTTCAATATAATTTACCAATGTAACAACATCACTTCTTCAATTGCTTCTGACAATGTAACAGTAGAATCAGTAACAGTAGCACCACTTCTTCAACCACTTTTGACATCATATGTAACAGTAGACGCTCACTTCTGACACCATATGTAACAACATGAATTCTTTGTTGTTATTGTGGGTTCTTCAATATACTCATACGAGCAACAGTAGTTGTGAAACAATAACTTTATTTACACTTTGTACAGAGAATTAATAGACCCATAGTAAATCCATGGTCACAACTGGTATAAGTACAATCACAGTCAAGAAACAAAGTGTCGTAGTAACATCCTACATTCACAGCCACAGTCCTCAGGTTCAAGTTCTAGCACACAACACCCGTTCACCTTTTTGCTCTCCCTTTTATTCACCACTTTCTCTCCCCTTACGTACATGAGCGATCTCACCCAAAAGCATGAAACAACACATGACGATCGCTCAGACAGTCCTTCCGCTAGCCAGGTACTCTTCATTCATGCAAAACACAATATAATAAGGATACATAATTATACAGTCTGTGACATATATATATATATATATATATATATTTATATATATATATCACGTATACACTTTTTATGACTGGAAATGTTTTATGCGGACATCTGTGTACCATGTGTTGTACCCTCACCCACCCACCCCACCCACCCCCTCCCTCCCTTCACACAATGTCACCGCATATCCCCCCCCCTAATTTCTCCCCCTCCCCCACCGGGTGTTGAACCTTGAAACAATGGATCGATATCAAGACGTGGTCTGACTCATCATCGATACCGCCACCTCCCTGGACCGTTTGTTATCGGAGCTCGTCTTTTGAAGGGGGACAACCTGTTTGTATAGAGTTACCCCCCTTACACCATTTTTTTCTTGTTTCACCACATTTGGCTTTCTTCTCACGAGACTAATACGGTCTGTTGTCTCCCTTGAGACAGCTACACAAATATCTATTTATGTAACGGGATACGTAAATTGATTTCCCCAAGTTCTTTTTTTAGCACGTCAATAGTAAATCTAGATATAGCTTCCAATAGGGCTGGTAAGTAGGTCACCAACCAGTTCTACGGCTTAATAAAACCTGCATGAGTCGTAGAACTGGTTGGTGACCTACTTACCAGCCCTATAACTTTGCTGTTATAGAGAATATCAATACAAATACGATGTAGGTGCGATCAAAGAGAAACATTTTCTGTTAAAATAAATTGGGGATTGATACAACTTAATCCGACAGTAGCAATGACCATTACGTCTCAGCATTACGCCAGGGCAGACACGAGCTACTTCAGTTTAAACCCCACTGACCACAGGCAACCCCCCCCCCTCCCTCATGTTGTCCAGTCCCCCTAAGGATCCGAACCCCTATACCCCTTTACGCATAAAGAAACAATGGATACGATTTCAAAAAAACAAAACAAAAAACAAAAAAAAGAAAAGAAAAATCACATGTACGATGGAGAACATGTGTGGTTGGGGTGGGGGGAATGGGGAGGGTATCGCTGATAAAAATACCTTACCTCCCGCTCCCCCGACCTGATTTTACCCGACAGTCTCGCTAATTCTACGATTAATTAGTTTCTCCCCATTAATCTGCAACGTTTGTAATCAGTCTAGGACCACTTCTAGTCGCGTGACTTTGTCATTAGCGGTAATGTTCATAGTGAAGTTTATTTCAGGCGCCGTAAATTTATTCTTTTAATTTTTTATTCGTTTATGTTTTACTTCCTTATATGTCACAAACATTACCTTCACAATCACAGTCGCTATCCCATGATGACTTACCCCTTAACCACAGCCCTAAAATAACTCTACATTAGATCTTTTTGTATTCAATTATTTATTTGACATCTATGACTTTATTCTTAAAATTTAACACATATTTTAACAATGCATTTTTAAATATAATTGTAGGTTGTGGAAGCATAAGGTTCGAGCTACCATTAATGTCAGAGGATATTACTCATATATACAGAACTTTTCCCTTGTTTATCTTGAGTTGTCTATCCTGTTAAATCAATGGAAAGTTTAACATCGAATGACAACACACTTGAGCACATAACAGGTAATAGTGACAGAGACTAATGTTTGCAAAATCATTTGAGTATTATTGTGTTTTGTGATATATATATATATATATATATATATATATATATATATATATATATATATATATATATATATATATATATATATATATATATATATATATATATATATATATATATACATACATATAAATATATACGAACAATGATCTTCTAATTGCTATTGTGATGTAATTTACATACGTATATTCGTACTCTAATGGAACTAATGAGAAATCCTATGATTTCAGTCGTCTGCCCTTTCTCTACCTGCGCTGTGAAGCTGAGCAGACGACAACTAGAGGAACACATTTTTCTCTGCCACGCCTCCAGCAGGACAACGACAGGTACACTTTTCATGCATTAAACTTACATGTCCACAAAAATTAGACTTGGATTTACATAAATCTTACATGTCCACAAAATTAGACTTGGATTTACATAAATCTTACATGTCCACAAAATTAGACTTGGATTTACATAAATCTTACATGTCCACAAAAATTAGACTTAAAAAAAAATTAGACTTAAACTTACATAAAACTTACATGTCTACAATAAGAAAACTTGGACTTACATAAAACTTACATGTCTACAGTAAGAAAACTTAAACTTACATAAAACTTACATGTCTACAATAAGAAAACTTAAACTTGCATAAAAGTTACATGTCTTCAATAAGAAATCTTGGACTTACATAACACTAACATGTCCAAAAAAAAAAGATGAAGACTTGAATTTATATTAAACTTATATTATATAACCACAACATGAAAACTTGGTCTTAAATAAAACATACATGTCCACAAAAAGAAAACTTGGACATACAATTTCAATGTTCGCAAAAAGTGGACTTCGACTTGCAGAAAACTTATATGTTCCCAAAAAGGAGGCTTAGTTTCGCATCAAACTTACAAATCCACATAAAACTTAACGGTCAACAAAAAGCATCTAGTCATGATGCCTTAGTCTGTGGATGCCCCTAACGATCTGAGCTTCAAAACACTGTACTTAGTGTAGTTCTACGTTGTGCCAGCATTGAGTTACAACGTCAGTCGTGTATATCTTTTGAACTTAACCCACCCTATACAGTGAGCTGTAACACTGTTGTCTTCTATCGTGTTCCAGGGCCAATGTCCGGGTCAACGCCCACCGGTGCCAGCCACAGCAGGCTGGTCAAGTCTGGCATCGCTGACCAGACACAGAACTCTATAGACAGACTGCTGGGCACCATCTCGTCACTCAAGTCCGAACTGGCCACAATGATGGACGACCAGAGGAAAGAAATGGCAGCAGAGTTTGACATGCAGAAAGGTAAACTTATGGTAAAGGGCGATAATCTAGGAACAGGGACGTTACTCTTGTGTGTTAATTTTGCAAATGAAAACTTCTAATAAAGGGCGGTTATCTAGGAACAGGGACGTAACTCGTGTGTGTTAATTTTACAAAGGTAGACTTCTGATAAAGGGCGCTCAGATGGGAACATAGGGGGAGGGGGGGGGGGGCGACACGTTGCTCGTGTATATTAATTTCTTCAAAATTTTTCACATAAGCAAGCCAATTGAAGAGAAAACATTATTGAATTATTATCGTTTGTGCATATGTGTTTAGTTGAATTATGGGTTTGGGCAAGTCTTACTCACGAAATGAAAAATCTTTTATGTTTGCACTAAAACTCGGACTTATTAAGTTGGAAGCTAGTCTAAAAGTTATAATAATTATATCTTTTTTAAAAACATTTTTATACGAATGTATTGTAAATTAAAATAAAACTAAAATTTTAATTTTAAACTAAATTTCTCCCAAATGTAGGTCACATGGTTCAAAAAGAGGCAGCACTACGTGGCCAGATCGAGGCGCTAAAGATGGACGTCGGTCAACTATCCCAGCAACTCTCCAGCATGCAGGAAGCCGAGAAACACAGGAGTCAGGAGCTGGACCGTATCACAGCAGAGAACCAGCAGCTGTTGAGTTCACTGAGAGCTCTTCAGGCAGAGCAGGAAGAAAAGTGTCAACACTGCTCGTGCGGGAAGGGAAAAGTGACCAATGTTTGATGAGAAGAAATGAGGCCACGTTGCTATAAATAACCATGTACTGAGTATATTGAGATTTTTAAATAGCACGCGAAGTTGCTAAATATAAGTAACAATGTGGTTGGCTGAAATGAATAGGACCGATTTGGCTAATCTGAGCTTCAGCAATTTTCACAAAATGGACTGACTTGATCTGAACAACGTTCTAGACACACCTGAGAAGACAATGTTCTCTGTCAGTGATAATCGGTCCCGGGAACATTTAAGTCACACCGTGAGCTACCTCGTTCCTACCTCTAGGTCCTACATCAGTCTCGTATTTAGGTCCTACTGGGCCATTGTCATTGCGATACAGCTGCAATATAAAACAACTCAGGAGAGTGCACCCTCAATCGTGAGTTGATACTAAACACTTCTACCAGTGTTGTTAAGTATATCTAACGACATCATTTTTGTTGATCTGGTACATCTAACTACAGAGCCTACACTGTAAGAGTGCCTAAACTATAACTCTGAACATGGGCCAATGCCTACACTATAATTCTGAACATCGGCCAATGCCTACATTATAGTTCTGAACATCGGCCAATGCCTACACTATAACTCTGAACATAGGCCAGTGCCTACACTATAACTCTGAACATAGGCCAGTGCCTACACTGTCTTTGAACATCGGCCAATGCTTACACTATAACTCTGACGTTTTTAAACTCTACCTCAATAAGCCTACGACTTGCCTCATTCAAAGACATCTTGACCATGTCAATGAATCGCCTCATTCAAAGACATCTTGACCATGTCAATGAATCGCCTCATTTTAAAGACATCTTGAACATGTCAATGAATCGCCTCATTTCAAAGACATCTTGACCATGTCAATAAATCTCCTCATTTTAAAGACATCTTAACCATGTCAATGAATCGCTACATATTAAAGACATCTTAACCATGTCAATGAATCGCCTCATTTTAAAGACATCTTGACCATGTCAATGAATCGCCTCATTTTAAAGACATCTTGACCATGTCAATGAATCGCCTCATTTCAAAGACATCTTGATCATGTGTACGAACAGCCTCATTTCAAAGATAAAACGACTAAGCCTAAAAATCGCCTTATCTAAAAGGTCTACATCATCTGTTGAAGAAAGAATACAGCCGAGACAAGACTGCGAGGAATCCTCATCACATACATACCCCCATCTCAATGGTTCTCAAACCAGACATCACTAGTACCCTCTAAGTTGCGAACTAACAAGTTTGTTAAACGATGCAAAAAATAAACTAAAGACTTGTATTTTTCATTATTGCATCATTTGGTTGCATCAGTGCAATTTTTGTATTGTTGTTTTTTTTTTACTGAATAAAAATTAATCTACTACCATAGCAATGATCTCGTGTGAAGTTGTCCACTTTTTTTCTTATGTTTATAACATGTAACTGCCTTTGTTACATAAATGGGCATGTGAGAATTGTTACAAATGTAATTTGTGTGATTGTTTTGTTTTATTTAAGTGGTTCTCCTTCTTCGTTCTTAATTTTAGTGTTGGAAGGGATCCCCTCCAACACAATTAAGTATACGGAAGGGCGGTCTCCCCGGGCGCCGACACTAGGGGGGGGGGGGCGCAAAAAGGGATAGAAAAAAAATTAAAAGCTAATTTTAAACTGCATTTTTTAATTATAAACAGTCAAAGTTAAGAAGAGCCTTTGCATACGGTTGTAACTGTTTTCTACCTTGAATATATAACTGTAAAACATACCCGTAAGATACAGTGACCCGAAAAAAAAACGCTTTCCAGCTTTCCTAGATGGTGGGGGGGGGGGGGGGGGGCGCTTTTTTCTTTTTCTCTTCCTCTTTCCCCGTGGACTGTTTTGTCTTTCTCATATTGTGTCCAAACCACCACCTTTTCATTGTCCACTGTATTTGACCTAGCTCCGACCCATACAGTGATGAGTAATGGATAACACATATTTAGCTATATATCCTGAATTCCACATTGACTTAGAACGTTAATACGCATTTTATCGCTGCTGATTCGAATAAGAACGTCACCGGAGGTGCCACTATCATTCAACCGGATATTACAACTTATTAAACCAGTACAGTTAATTCTACTTGTTGTTGACTGTGTGCGAGAAGGCAGTGCACATCTGATAAATCCAAGACTTCGAGGTGTTGTGTCCGTTGGATTCCAGTTTGTTTCCTCTAGCCTGTTTCATTACACAATCAACCAGTCAACGAAATACCCCATATCGTATTCCAGTGTGTACAATAATTTGCTATTGTTGTATGCCAATCTAACAAACTTATAATCCAACTATGTACTATATAACAGAGACTATTCCAAAGATAAATATAAAAAGACTGCCCTAATCGAATTAGCACCTGCTACAAACTTCCCTCTAAACTCAGATGAGGTTTATTTATTTCTGATATTATAAATGATTTTTAAGGGGAATTTAATTGGCGCCCCGTAAAGTTTTAGGGAACGACAATCATACATGGCAATTATTAAATTTCTGTCGCACACACACACACACACACACACACACACACATATATATATATATATATATATATATATATATATATATATATATATATATATATATATATATATATATATATATATATATATATAGGGGGGGGGGCAAAATGAAAGAATGAAAGTTCGCCCCGCGGGCGCCGGGAGAGGTCGCTACGCCTCTGTGTGGATCATCTATAGAAATATTTTGGATTTTTGTATCCCCTATACCTTTCTATGCGGAGTGGATGTCCACAAAGCTGGATACACCTCTCGGTATACTAATTCAATGACATCTATTGGGTCTAAATCACCTGCATACCGTGATTTATTCTTATCGTTTATCTCTGTTATTAAGTATTAAGAGACGATCCTGGCTAAGCCACTGTTTCCAATAACCTTTATTTTAAATAACTGTAACTGTATTTTATTTTTTTAATTCTTAAATAGTATCCCAGCACCAAAATATATTTAACTTTTAATTTATCTAGAAGCTAGATCCAGATCTAGAGTCTAGAATCTAGCTAGCTAGATCTAGGTGTTAATAATTTGGTCTTTGGGGTCATCCATGAATGACGTCATGCTTTATTTTAGGATTTTTACCCCCCCCCCCCCCCCCCTCGGTCACACGTCTCAAAAAGCCAGACCCCCCCCCCTAAAATGACGTCACATAAAGCCAACAGCCCCCCCCCCCCCCAAAAAAAAAATTGCTGTTGAATTTTTCTTAAAACCTCGATATTTTTCCAACATCTTGTGTGAACTCTGTCAACATAGAGTATTTTCATCAATTTCTATTACAATTTATTAAAACCGTTTTCGAAAACGCGAAATAACGACTAAAACTCGTTTTCTAACATTGCTTTTTTATAATGTAAAAGTGTGACGTCACACCATCTGAACCCACCCCGCTCCCCCTCATCACACACCGTCACAACATTACGGATCCCCCCCCCCTCCCCCCTAGGAGTCTGACGTCATTTACGGCCAACCCCCTTTTCTTCACTACTGTTCGTTGTTAATTTTTTCGAGAATAAAATTCCAGCAGACTTTTTAAAAGATCGCATTAAAAATGACCTTTCACCTTTTTGTTTGACAACACGGCACATTTTTCCCCTAACGATTTTCTAAGTATAGTTCAATTAGTTGTGAAGTTAAGTGTTTAGTCCTGCTTTCAACTGACAAGATTTATAAATAAATCTAAGGCACGTATTCAAATTAACGACTATGATTAGTAAATAGTAATAGTACTAGTACTAGAATCTAGATTTTAGTCAAGTAGTAGATTCTCTCACTCTAACAGAGTAACAGTACTCTAACTCTAGATCTAGTTTTTTAGTAGAGTTAGTAGTTAGTTAGTACTAGTCCAGATTCTAGTACTACTGACTAGATTTAGTCTACTTTTAAGACGACTAAGACTTAAGTCTACTGTGTGAATCTAAGTAGAGTAGTACTTTAGTAGTCAGAAGTGACTGGAGTGAGTAGTGAAGTAGTCAGTAGTGTCATTTAAAATTTAAAACAAATCAAGAGAGAGATGGAGAGACTTTTAATCCTAATTTAATACCTTAGGCTTAGTTATTAACTTATTATTTATTATTATTGTTACTATCAAGTTTATTACCCAGGCAATTAAGAACTACAAAGCTTGATGCTGATCTTGTATGTAAAATGGGTAAAAAAGATGCATCCGCTAATCGCAGCCAACCCTTGGAACAGTATAGAAAACAAATAGGTATCTATTTTTTTTAATTATCAATTTTAGATTTTTGGGATGACAATAAGAACCATCCTGTTGAATCCCTAGCAGAACGCATTCCCCTTGGCTGAGCCTCAACCATCTGGTGAGCTTGTTGCATTCATTAAAATCATCAAAATGTAAACACAAAACAATCTCAAAATGATTTTCATATAATTATAATAACATACATCAGGCCACAGAGCAAGCTGGCAAAAAAAAATAAACTCCCTTCATAGACAAAGCATTCACAAACAAAATAGTTAAGCCAACTTAATTCAATACCAACATTATGCAAATATTTATTACAACAGGAAAACAGGACTGGAAAAAATCAAAGAAAGAAATCAGAAGCATGAAATCTAGATCAGAATATTCTAATGAATACACACCTCAGGTAATGTCATATAAATGTCTATAAACTATTAATTGTATAAGAATATCTATATATATAATTCTCTTCTTGGAGACCATAGAAAACACCAAGCTGTAAGCACACCTCCTAGCAGCCCCCTCTCTTCCTCTCTAGGCATATCGCAACCACCCCCACCCCCACATTGTCTGGTGAGCTGTGTTTCACGCTAAATGTTTACAATCGTAGAGCCGGGTTTAGTGATGGCTATTGGGGGCATATAATTTAGTTTGAAACAATTTTAAACTTAGGGGAGGTAACTAAGAGGAGGCTGCTTTCACGGGGGGGGGGGGGGGTTGGGGGAAAGGAGGGTTTTAGTGTTTTAAAGCAAATATTTTCAGTGGCAGCATTCAAATTATGGATTACCGAAAAGTAGAAAATTAAACAACTAAATAGCATCGTATGATATATATATATATCTGTATATATATATATATATCTGTATATATATATATATATATATATATATATATATATATATATATATATATATATATATATATATATATATATCTGCTAGAATCAATATATAATGCAAGCTGACTTGTGTGACCTCACACAGAGGAATAACTCTGTATAGTCTAAAGAATGTTGTAACTGATATTTTTTATGTTCTGAATGTTGAATCTATGAAAATGAAGACAACATTGATACAACAACATTGGAGGCTAGGCTTTATTGTGAGGACCAGTTTAGGACCATATTTGACAGACAGAGCAATTTAACTTGGCTTGTAAAATTGTTTTTTTTATTTCTCAGGTCATTGTTTTATGGATAGGTGCAATTATTTTGGTGTGTTCGTCAGGGTATATGCTCCTCTTCTGGTATCTGGGCGCAGCATCTTTAGAAAACCTCTCAGACCCACCACCTGTTTGATGTTTTTTCAAGCCTCAGTAAAATTGTGTCATCACAAATGTTTTTTAAGTTTTAACTTAGTTTGGTTTTAGGTTAGTAGTTTATCCTTTCAGTCATTATCTTATTGAATTGGATAACAATTGTTTATTCTACAATTGCTCAGTATAAGTAATTTTCTTTTACTTTTTACTGTAGCAGGCAAGCTGCTATAAACAATACCCAACATGAGAGCTGTATTTGTTTATAATGCAACTTTAGGTAAAAATAGGTGAAAGAAACTTAGTCATTGAAATACATCAATATGTTAGCTTTCAGTTAAGGGTTTATGTGCCAAAGTTGTTGTTTAAAACCTAAATTAAATTTCAAAGTATTTCAACTATTTCGTTATATATCTATAATTCTTGCAGCGATTGTTGCTAGATATTTTCTCACTTATTGCTAAGTTTGTTCTTTTAAAATTTTGACATTTTACAACGACTGCTATGAACTGATACATCTAAGATCACTTGCAGGACCTATTGAATAGCCTTTTCTCTAAATCTCCCTCTAGCCTTAGGCATACCTCTAATCATCATTCTAAGCCTAAAAGCAATCAAGGCATTAACAAAACCCACTTTGATACAATAATATAATGCTTTGTCTTTGTTTAAAGTACTTATTTAAGTTATTATTATCAGGTATGACAAAATGCTAGATTGATGTTAGAATCTTGTTTTGCCATCTTTAGAGCATTTTTAAATAGATTTGAGGGAGGGGGGGGGGGATAATTTTTTAAAATGTCTGTCTCAGCTTTGACTTATTTTTTAAAACTAAATGTAAACAATCAAATTGATTTCAAAATTGTAGACTGAAAACTGTTTTTATTTATTATTTTAAGGCATCAATTAATCTTTTAAATGTTTTGAAATCTATACAATTTTATGCAATTAAGTCTAACTTATTGCTTATGTGTTTCCATTACTTGCTCACTTTTAGAATTTTCCAGATCTTAAACAGATTTCTCCATTATGTATAATTCAGTTATTTCAAGGCTAATATAAATTATATAGAACAGTTCTTGAAATTTATTAATTAACCTTTTGCAAACTGTTTTTACAAAATGAGCATAATGATGTATATACTTTTTATTCACCAAATATTTGTTACTCTATGATACCCCTCTAAGTTCCTTTATTTTTACAAAACACTCTAACATTTTTTACTTTAACTGCTTATTATGTTTGTCATTAAAAGGTAAACATATTTGTTTACACCAACAGCTTACTCAACTACTTGACATCCATGAACTTGACATTCATGAAGCATGCACATGAAAATTGTCACTTTTTTCTTTATCCCTAAAACTATTTTTTAAAATTTACTTGTTGAAACCATTTTTTAGATATTTGTTTGTTGCCTTAAAAAGTCAATGTATGCATTTTTCTTTCAACACCTCCAAATATTTCTGAAAAAAATTCCAGTATGTTTATGATATCTTTTGATATCACAATGTTGTCAAAATTTAAGCTGCCAGGACTTGAGTTTACTGAAGTTATAACCTGAAGTAAGCTCTAGTTTAAATTTTTTTTTTAAATTTTACATTTATTTTCAATAGATAAATATTGGTTGTAGTTTAGGATCTTCAGGGACTGTTAGAATTCAAGGTGTTTTCCAATATACTGATTTATGAATGCTTTGTTAGAATCCTTTCTTCTAGCTAGAACACCCTTAAATTGAGCTTAGTACTTATGATTTCTAGTACAATACTGATCAGACATGATGGTTAACTAGGTGGACATGAAGGCTAACAATGGGATAATACATCAGTAATGAGTTGTCTTAACCTTCTCAGATTTGTATCACACACCAACCTTTGCGGTACATCTAAAGCTACCTATCTGTCTGTCTCCACCACATGTGGGCATCGATAAATAAACCAGCACTATTCTTTTTTATTTTATCTTTTTTTTTGTTTCGCTAAGCCAGTGTTCATTTGGTTTTTAAACTTTTGTTTGATTTACCCCTTACATTTTTCACCATAAATGTACTTACATTTTTAATCATTATATGTTAAGTAACAGCTTACATTTGTATCACCTCAGTTTTACTTAACTGAAAAACCATATGCAATGTATGTTTTGTGAATATTTTTATATGGTGATATTTTAAAAAATTACATTAATTTAAGATTTTGAATACACAGATTGTAAGCTGACTTACAAATATTTACATCAATTTTTATTGAAGTTTGTGAATAAAGCTTACTTATCCATTTAGCTCCTTTCAATACATCTTATCTAATGATCATAAAATATCTTAGTATGAAAGTTACATCCATGAACAGATGAATGTAGTTATCCACTTCTGTGACTACAGAATAAGAGATAGTGTGATCAACGCAATGTGTACATATTCTATAAGTGGGATGTGCTCTGAGTCCCAGTGGTACTCAGAGAAGTTAAAATATTTTAGGGGAGCAATTTGTCTTTAAACACACAATTCTATAACCTAGTACATAGGTTTTTTTAACTGTGGCAATAGTTGTTAAAACGTACGAATGAATTACAATGAATTAAGACCAATGTATACAGATTGAATAAAAGAAGTCAAGATAAAAATTGTTTCATAATTTGTTTTATTGCACAAGTGTTGAGGCTCAACTGTTTTACATGAATTTATCTTACCCTAGCAACACAACTTGTTCCTTGTACAAAAATCCTTGGCATGTAAACACCTGTACACAAGTAGCTTCACAGATCCATAGCATTTTTTTCAAATCACATAAGAAAACTTATTTTTCTATTAAATGAATCCTATTAGGAAATAAAGAGCATAAAAATATTTTTTTAAAATTGCAGAATTATTTTGCTTGTACCCAATTAAGTATTTAAAAACAAACAACCTTAAGCCACAGATGCAGAAGGAACAAGTTGTGGAACTGGGTAAGGCAGTGGTTGCCGTAACAACAATGACATCAACACTACATACTTGGGTGTACTGTACCTAGTCTTTGGGTCCAACATACAACTCTTGGGTCTCAGGCAGAAACAGGAACCACGCCCATTTCCACCTTACAGCTAACTTAATGCCTTACAGCAACATTGTCTAATAAAAAAAAAAATCCACCCAACACTCCGGAACAAATATAAATAAAAAAATTTCTTGAATGATCCTGTTTCTACCTGAGCTTCAATCAGACTGGGCAACAGCAGCAGCTCAAAAATAAAGAAAATATTGACTTGACATCACTAGCAAGGTTTGACTTGACATCACTAGCAAGGTAAGGGCGTGCCTTATCCAGAATGAAAGGGGTAACACCCCCCTTTTTTTTTAGCTCTCATGTAAGAGATATGTTGAAAAGCTACAAACAAGTCCTCAGCTTTTAAATTTTATTTCCTACACCTTCAACAAAATGTTGAAAGTAATGAAACTAATGACCACCTGTTCTGAAAATGTCCATATGGAGTTTTTAGAAAAAGAGTTTTAAGCTGAACTAGCCAAGTCAACAAGAGAATCATGTTTGCATAAAATTATCTTAAGCTTCTTTTTGTAATAAAAAGCAATTAAAAAAGATGAGAACACCATTTCGCAAAGAAAATGTGACAGACGTACACAAACATCACCACAACAAATACTAGAAAAAGCTACACGCATTCCTAAATGCTAAAAATATACATGCACATTATTCTTAAGATATATATATTTATATATTTCATATTATTTTTAGGCATGTATAATAAATTAAAAAGCCAGACAAGCGATTTTGTAACATAATCTTCACTTCATTCATATCCTTAGCATTATACATGAATCAATATACATGTGCAGCAAAAACTCATGAAGACGTAGGGGACAAGATGAAATGAAAATCAAATTAAGAACATGTTTATTTTTTGTATTTAGTTTCTTGTCAATGAAATAATATAATTTACTTCATTGAGTAATTTATTTCATTCAACTATTAAGAGAATCTTACACACTTGTCATTATATAACAATTACAATCCAAAAATATTACTAAAAATATTTTTCATAGCTTTTTAATAAAATTAAGCAAAAAAAAAACAATTTTGTAGTTGTATTTGCAGTGGTGAGTTAAAAGAATGACTGACAACACTTGTTTTTGGCAATGTTCAAGACCTTGTTTTGTTCACACTTGACAAACTGAAATGTACTTCACACTATTTACAAGATTAGCAAACAGCTAAAGAAATATTACAAACTTTTCAAACAATAAAGAAATATTCTTGAGGACATTTTCAAATTCAGTGAACTACATTCATTCATTCAGGATTTGTAAGAGATAAACAATGCCATATCAAGTAACTTTTTTTTTGTGTTGTAATAACTGTTCATTAGGAAAAACAAGTAAAAAAGAAAATTTTAATTTTCTTACAATTCAAGGATATGTGTATCACTGCTTACAAAAATTTCAAAATAAGATTTGCTGAAAACCAAATTTCCAGTTTAGCAGATGTAAAAAAAAATGTATATAGAGCACATTACTTGTTTTCGATGAAACTTTAAAGATTGTGCTCAAGTGGCACAATACTCTACTCACTGTGTAATCCAGAAAACAGGAAAAATTATATCCAGGCATCCATTGACTAACTCCACCAAGGAGAAGCCTAAGCTAAAAAGGAGTAGTGTAAGACTAGGAATGATTGACTTACAGAACCCCATTCAAGGAGAATCAAGACAGCACTACAATCACACAATTAAGTTAGCAGCAGGCTGAGCCAACAAATTTTAAACCTAAGAGGAAAATGATAATCCAGATTTTTTAAAACCATTACTTAAATCTTTCAAAATGTTGAATTATGTGTCAGATACTAGGCTTACATAATAGATCAAAACATTTAATTAGGCTTTTATAATCCAAGTTATTTGGTGTAAATGTTTTTAATGTTATGCTAATAGAATTAAAAAAAAATGGTTAGTTATTTCATTTTTCCTTTATCTGCATCTACTAAAATTTAACTTTTGATTTATTACAACTGTTCACTATAAATGAAACAAAAATGGAGACAGTTAATTGAGTATTGAAAATTAAAAGGTTTCTTGACTGTGATCAAATGATGAAAACCATCACTGAAATGCAACCTACATACAACAACCTCACACAAAAATCGCAAAACATATTCAACACTTATCATAACCATACATTGATATTTTTTAAATAATGCAATTGAATAAAGCTAACAAATTTATACCTATGTACAGCACCAAAAAATATGAAAAAAAAAATAATCACTCACTCAAATATCACATGCAGGATAACTAGTTTGTTATCTACAACAGTCAAACCCAGAACAGAAATGATGAGCATAAATCAATCAACCTGACGATGAAGAAGTTCATTTTTACTTGATTGGAATAATGCCACTGCACCCAACTACAATGATGGCTTGCAGCAAAAGGTGAGAGACACTGAGGAGGGATGAAAGACCAATATGTACGACAAAATGTGGGGAGGGTGGTAAAAAAAATTGTGAAAGTCAAAGATAAATACACAACTGTACTGCAAGAAAGGGGACAAAAGGAAGACCAATCCCATTGAAATCTCTCAGAAGAAAGAGGCAATATTTTTCATGGATATTTCAGAAATTCAAAGCTACTACTGGTTTGTATTATTTATGTACACAAAAATATATAGATAATGGCTTATCTGTCTTAAATCAAATTTTCTTTTAAATTATCCTAAAGAAAACAAATCCCCTAAATCTTCCTGAAGTTGTTAATTACAGAGATACAGGCTAATAAATTAAACATCATATCTACACCACTGTTAAAAAATGCATGTAAAATATAAGTGAAGCTTAGCTATTATGACTTAATATTTTCTTATGAAAATGGTTATGTAAAATTCTAAATTCCTTTTTGAGGTAATATAAAACACTAATTGACTATGAATATTCACATTAAAAAAAAATCAACATATTAATTTAAAAGCAGTACACTACGGTGCAAAAACACTAAATTGATGTTAGGGGAAATACAATCACCGACAGCAAAATTTAGAAAAATGTTGACAGGGTTCTAAAGATGAACATATTGTACCAAATCTTTCTACATTTTTTTTCAATTTATTTATTATTTTTTTTTCATTATCAGTTGTGATAACTTAAGACTTGTTTAGGACCTGATTTGTAGGGGAGCAGGGAGCTGTGATAAATCTAAACAAATAATAGAAAAGTATTTAACCAGCAAAAACTTTCTAATATGTTTGACCTTGGATTTCACATGTTAATTTTACATCTCATCGTCCATTAACATTTACTTTAAACCTACTAGGTTGTAAAAAGTTAACCTAGTCAGTTATGATGTCAGTCAATTTACTATAAACATTTTAATTTCCCATTGGACTTAAAAATAACCCATTATAATAACCTAAATACCAAGTTAAAACTGACATGATTGTCGCTATACATGTCACTGAATTTTATATCAAGATAAATTTAAATGAAAACAAAACAACACCTTCAGACAGTGGGGGTCAAAAGAATCTCTTAGCATTGGTACTAGTATCAAACGAATGTGTCAGGGCAACTAAAATAAAACGTCTAACTCTAATCATCAAGATGGTGGTCCTTGTGAGTCTGTGGATGTGTTGTTTGAGTCGATTGACTTTTTCCCTCTTGTCATGCGTTCCAGCTCAGCGGCCGCATCCCGCGTCACAGCAGCTTTGTCTGTAAAAGAAACAAGAAAAAAAAAATACAGGTTTGTTAAAACAAGCTAAACGCACCTCAACAAATATACCTGCTCACAACCTTTTTCAAGTACATTCTAATTCACCAACAAATTGTAGCGGGCTAAAAAAAATACATCACCCCACATAAACTGAAAGCTGAACAAAAGCTCGACTCAAATAAGAATCATATACAGAAATACCCACATGAACAGACATGTAACCAGCACAATTCACAGCTTTAAAAAAACCAATTTATTCTTCTAATCTACATACAAACAAAAAATGTCCTACCAATATGCTCAGCTCCACTCATTGATGCTAAATATTTGGAGAGATTAATGAGAGAATATTAATATCTACTCCAAAGAGTAGTATTTAAGCTGGATTTTTTTTTATTTAAAAAAAAAAGAAGGGAGTCCCTCAACCACATGATTTGTATAAAAATGAACAATGCACACAAGAAAAGCTTTCTGAATGAGACTTAATCTGTCAAGTCCAAGCCCGGCCATCAGTTTTCTACACTGGAGGAAGTGAAACCTCTACTTCAATGATGCGAAAGACAACAGAAAAAGAATGAAAAGGAGCAGAGACAAAGAGAAATTGGGAGCATTTAAAACTGATGAGAGAAACTCACTTGGTCCTGGTTGTCCTGGAGTTTTGCTCAATAAACTATTGAAAAAGTTGGCCAGCATGCCCTCTGTTGTATTGCCTGGGGGTGCTCGAGTATCCTGATCATACAAACAAAACATTGCAACAGAAAAAAAAAACACAACTTTTTGTTATGGTGCTAAACATAAACACATTCAATTAAATATTTTAAAACATTCATTCATGCATAGAAATCAGAAGAACTTATATAAAACTGGTTTTAATGGGTTTTTTTTACTCTTATTTGTAGCACAGGTGTGAAAACCAGCTCGGATTACTACTAACATTGCTAATGCTAAATAAAATTAGCATTTAAGAAGTTGCAACAGTTTATGATAAACAACTATACAGTATTTGCAGTAACTATAAAAAATTAAATGACTAAGAACAGCAGGAAATTCATGGTGTATTTTGAACATAGGTGGTTTAGCATTCAATCACTATGGTAGCAAAGAAGTGAAATATGGCAGCAGCAACAACTCAGGTATTTGACCAAATAAAGAAAATAAAGCCTTACTTTAGCTCTTGTTGGTGTGCCTGTGTTTGCAGGTACTGGTGTTCTCTCTGGTGTTTTATGAACTTGAGGCCTTTGTTGTCTGGGAGCAGCAGGTTCCTTGTAAGATAAGAAAAAATACAGATTGAATAAACAAAATGTATAAAATCTTGGCTCAAAGACATAATTTACTTTACTTTATCCAGCTCAAACTCTCAGAGAACAAGAACTCACAGCTGCAGCAGTAGGAGGAGTCCCTGGTGCTACTTGTTTAGCTAGCTGAGACTGTTGTTTCATGAGGAAAACCTGCTCGTCCTCTGCCACTATCTCTGCATCACGTTGCACAACCTGACATGGTAAAGTGAACATGCACTAGAAATTATTTCTTACAATGTCATCATAATAATACTTCTAAAAATTAAGTGATTTTATTATAGTGCTTGTATTTAGAAACTTGCCCACAGAAGAAAACTGAATCTTATTACAACACTTCTGCATCAACTTAATTTTTCATGTGCAGTTATTACTTTAATCATTACAATCTAATAATAGGATAGGCACAAGAATAAGATTCATAATTTTGACAAGCTAGTTAAAAAATGCAATTACTTGGATAAACAATAAATTAAAATTACCTTTCTTGTGGAAGGTTTGATGATAACATCTTCGAAAGAGTCGTCTGGTTTCATTGTGGTCATGTTTTCATACAATATGCTAATTTTTTTCTCATTGTCCCATCCAGATGGACTACAAAACAAGATATGAAAAATATTTCTACAAGTGTTAACTATGGCACAAAACATAATGAGTGAAAAATCACATAGCACTATTTATGTAAAATAAATTATATTTTAACTGGATGCTTTCAAATTGTGTTAAAATGTTTTAGAGCAGTTAAAAATTGTTCACTAAAGATTATCTCCCAAATGGATAAGTAAATAAAACCTAATAATAGTCATCAATTTGATGAATGTTAAGTTTACCTGTATAAAGCCACACAATTTTTTTCTAAGAAAAGGTACTCACACAAAGACTGAATCCTTCTCAACAACAAGAGCAGGAGATGTGAATGGGAACCCATATATTCTGTGAACTAGGTATCTATACAACAAATCACAGTTCCTTTCATCTTTCACTGATGTGTAAAACATTGCCGCACCATCTTTTAAAAGAGTTAAGGGTTCTAGCACTGAACAAACACAACATGACAATACAAGATTAATGTACACTTTGTATTTGATCCTAGATAAGATAAGAAATGAAACCAGTACTATCTTATCCATATTTTTCAAAATATGCAGAATCCACTACAAACCAGAGAGCATTATAAGAACAATTAATTAAAAATGAAAACTACAAAACAAAGAAAAAGATAACAAAAAGGTGAAAAATTAAGAAGCAAATAGTAGGAAACAATAGCATTGGGAAAAGAACTTAAGTTATTCCATATAAAGGATACATTTTAAACAAAATTTCCTAATATGTTGTTGAATAAAATCTAGATGTTCATCTTTAAAGTCCAATTCTTTTTCCAACATTGAGATTGCATCACTCTGTGGAGATAAAATAAAAGGGTTTTGTTTCTGTACAAACACTTTGTAGTCAATCACCACACAAGACCCCCCAACACAATAACTTCATCAATCGTGCTCGACTACACCAGCTGATGTAAACCCTGAAACCCTTTGAGCTAAAACAATTTGTTTGGACCAGTGATATGACTGTATTTCTCCACAAACTAACATGATAGAGGTTTACACACCCACCTTTGTAACTACAACTACTATAGGAATTCCTAAGTTCTGTGATAAAGTCAGTTCCCCCAGGGGTAAAACACTCTCCTCCTCTGTACCAGCAGCTGGAGGGTGGAGGGGGTTGATGTCTCCTCTAGGGGGACCCTGTGTGACTATAGGGCCATCCCCAGGCTCAGTATAAGCTTGATAGACCCTGATTACTGAAACACAATCAGTTATTACAGGTGGTTTATTCTTTTTAAGTAACTGCATCAAATAACAAATAAAGCTCAAAACTGAAAACAAAACTGTGGTTTGCTTTAAATTTAAACTGTTACCAAGCAAGTATAAAAGGTTACAAATATTGAAATTAAGTTTGATATTATTGGTCGAAAAGATATCTTTATTTTTTTTTAAATTAGAATTTTGTAATAATATTGTTTTATAATGCAAAAATAGTGAAAAAAGGTTATAAAACAGGTGGAACTATTTTGAAAAATATGGATAAGATAGTACCAATTTCATAACGTAGGATAAAAGACTGTTATAAGAAAAATAAAAGATTACAAGGGTTCAAGAAATCAGTAAACAAAGGTCAAAGGTGCTAATAATTGTGAGGATATATGAATAACAGGATGGTCATAATAAAAAAAAAGTAGGTATTTGAAATGTTTACTAAACCAGCTGTCACTAATTACATAAACCTTTTTGTTTTGAAATTATCTATTAAATTTCTACAACGAAAGTGCTCAATCAAAAACACCCACTAATAAATGTAATGCTGCATTGTAAGTTTGAAAATACAATAATTTTTCATGAATGAAAAAGGTAAGAATAACATCTAAACACTACAGGTGCTGACTAGATAGGAACCAAAAAAAAATCAGATATGGACAACCATTTCATGTAATCCACATGGGCCAAACTACCATGGAAATACTTAACAGGTCAATAAAATGGAAGTTTATTTCTACCCCTCAAAACTTCAATTGTTACCAAAAAATAAATATTCATTTTTAAATTTTGTTGAAAAGCTATATTTTATAGACAAAATACTATTTGTGATTATTCTTTTCTTAATTTAAATAAAGCTGTGCACAATGGAAATTCAGGATATCAACTAGTGGGCATGTGTTGCACACTATTGACTTACATTACTTTAAACACTAAGCAATCTCAATGCAAACTGTTACACCCAATAAAAGATCAATACTTCATAACAAAAAGAAAAAAAAATGTATTAATATGTATGGCCACACAGTGAGTGCCTCAATCAACTTATATACCCACAAAATATGTTATTACGGTGAAATGTCCTGCATGCATTTAGACTTTAAGCAACCAGTGTAAAACAACTAAATAATTAAGTACATAATCCTGCAAAAACAAGAATGAGCTCAGTGAACATAACATACCCGTATTAACAAGATCATTGGTTTTTTTTGTTTAAATTAAGCAGCATTAATTCATATTACATTTATATTTTTAATTATATTAATTTCTAAATGACAAACTTTTGATTCTTCAATGTGTACATATGGTGTTTTGTAACTTATTGAAATAAATTTATTTAAAATTTAAAAAATATAATAACAGCCTTGCTTAACTTCCATGCCTGTGCTAATGACCGAGTAATCCATTTCACTTCATCAAAGTTAGCTAAAGGTATTTTAAATATTTTTATAATATTTATAATAATATGACCGTAAAACAAAAGAAAAAACGGTTTATCCAAGGAAATAGTAATGTCCAAACTAGGAGACTAAAGAGTAGACTAGTGCAAGTGGAGGCGAAAATATTTCACAGAAATGTAGTCTATCAATAAAAATATAAAATATACATTAGTAAAAGTAAGCCTATATGGAATATATCATAAAAATTACATATTGTCTCCAGAAACAATTTATTTTTGCAATGTATCTATTCTACAGCAGAAGTTACTATTTTATTTCTTTTCTAACTCTGTTTAACCAGACTGTTCATTTCTGTGTAGGTTAGACAAATACCATGAAAGATGCAGATATTGATTGATTTTTCAAGCACTAAGGGGAATTTGGTTTTTAAAGCAGGTGGAGTGATATACGTTTGGAATTGGCTGTTCTATAAAAGTTAAAGCAAAAGTCAAGGGAAGATAATAAGCTAGAATACATAAAGCTACCAAAGCGAAAATAATTGTACTAAAATTATTATGTAATTTATTATATTTAAAAAATTGCAAAACGTAGGTGACAAGGCAAAAAAATTATTTGAAATAAAATTGTTTTGCTTTTTAAAAAATACAATCTGCAAATTAATTCATCAGCTAATTATAATTATGTTTAGAATTTTTCATCAATTAAGTAAAGATTCTAGACTGAAAATATGACTCAAGCATTAAGTATACTAGAAAATAAAAGCTTAAATAAAAGCTTAAACACAAAAATAAAAATACACTTTAAGTGCTTGTTTTTTCATTGGTGGAATGATGACTACAGGCTAGAGTGTCAAAAGCTATTTAAAATAGTTTCCAATAACACTCCCTGTTACCACTAATGATAAACTAAGTTTAGCATAGCTTGGAAAAAAAGTTAATTTCTTTATAATAAAAATGAACACATACATGATGAACACATTAAAACACAGAAAACTAGTATCAATGAATATGCTATGTCAAGGAAATCACTTTCATTATAAGAGTGATGGGCTTTATTCAGCTTATAAACAAGCAAATATTGCTTAATTTAATTTTTAAATATAGAACATTTTGTTACAAATAGGCAAGATCCAATATAAATAATAATAGTTATATATTTGCATTATGGAACTACAACATACAATTTCTGACCTTTACAGAATCTAACCTTGTGGCATAATATAGTTAAACCAGCACTTAACTCTATTTTGACAGATGACATTTAATCTTGATTTCAACTTACAACTTTGTTCATATTCCATTTTTTTCTCGCCAGGGATCCTCAGCTTATCCACATGATTTCTCAACACATCTGCCCACTTATTCAGAGTTTCCAAGAGAGACCATGGCTGGGCCATCGAAACAACTAGCATGACTAGAGTATCACTGAAGGTATCCTCTTTAAGAGCATACTTCAATAGTCCGGTATGGTTAGGGTCACCATCCAGAACCCATACATTTAACCTCGCTTGCTCTGAAAAGTTATTTTAAAAAATAATATTAATATTTAAAATGATTTTAAAAGCATAAAAAAAGAATTGAAGAGTATTTTTTTTATGACTGCGTGAAACACCATGATGGTACTCACATTGTAGACATACTAACCTATTTTTATATCTCACCTTAAATTAGCAGCCCTTGTTAGGCTATTTTATTTATTGTCAATTTAAAAAAAACATTGTTAAGTAAAGATACTTGCCATCTCTATACTCGTCTTTCACGTCAATATAATAGTATTCTAAGCCAGAACCTTTTTTAGGTTCTTCTAAACCTTGAAGCTTGGCTATTAATGTTGTCTTCCCTGAATCATTGTCACCTAAATTTAAGGATATTAATAAGACAGTTTAAAAATAATGCACACATAAGAATACCTTCCTAAAATATTTAATTTAATTACTTGACATTTGATAAACATTACTGTATGAAATTGAAATATTTCTTAAAAGTAGTATGTGATAGATATGGCTATTAAAATTTTTATTTTACCTAATACAAGAACAGTTCTAGTAGTTGGTAGTTTGGACGCAGACCCTGACTGTACCTCACTAAGGATGTCAGCCCTGAAACACAAGTTGGTTTAGTTTTAATTAGTTGTATTCATGTACCTGAAGTAATGGGAATTAACAGAGTAAATTAAATATATCTTCACTGTTGCTAAGGCAACTTGTTTTTTTGTAAATTGAAACGGCATTTTGCAACTGAAGTTTTTCGGGGTTGATTGTACATCTCACCAGTCAGAATATAGATTAAAATAATCTAGTAGTGATGAATAACAAAGTGCTGTTTGTGCATTTTTGTCTTAGGTAGGATTTGCTGGAAAAAAAAACTCCCCCAAATAAATGTCTATGACCAAGACCTATTTTATAATTTTCAATTGTCATGTTTAGGCATATTTACATGTATGCCTATAAATTGTGCAAATCTGACAGCTCATACTCATCTAAACAAATGTTAAAGTTAAAAATTTTTGAATCCTAACGACTGAATAAGTTTATTGAATTTAAAGGTTATTCATTTATTGGTGTCTCAATTTACAAAATAAAAAAACAAATTTAATCTTTAGACTAAAGAATGAATTGTTTCAATAAGGCCTAAGAACCAGATAAATAAATAAACCTTCAAAAAGAAAAGTAATTACGCTAGTTTATGTTTCATAAAAAAACTTTATGCTTAATTTAAACCCAAAAAGTAGGCTACATTAACACATTAGGCCTACAGACTGAGGATAAGGTAAACAAAACTGAAATCAACTTCATTTGGTGGATTATACTACTAAGTTAGAAGTAGACTGTAGACCTATTGTTGGGGTCAACATGCTCATGCTAGATCCTCCATTACCGAATGAAATAACAACAACAATAAAATCATCAATCAAACTTTTCTCACTGGTGCAGACAACTGACAAGAAAATAAAATGGGCTGTGGGGATGTCATCTGGCAATGACTACGATGCAATTTCAGTTATTTTTAGTAGGCCTAAGGTCCAACTTTTATTTAGGCAAGGCCTTGTGATAGTAAAAGAATAACCTGTTTAGGTTAGGACTAGATCTAGAATCTAGATGAATAAATACTAAATAGCCTGATTCAAGTATTTCTTGAATGTAGGCCTAATGTTTACTTTATCAATATTCAAGTTTGTGATGTGTTTTTTGTAACAAGAGATTAAATTTTTAAAATCTAAATCTAGAATAGATCTAGAAATCTAGTCTAGATCTACCCTGCATAAAATTAATTAAATTAGATTCCAGATTTAAGCCAGGCGGGCAGGGCTTCTTGACTGCAGTAGTAAGTACTAAGTAAGTAAAGTAAGCTTACAAATATCATATGCCAGTTAAGTAGTAACACTCTTTGGTTTTATTGCATTATGTACTATGTAGCCTTAATTTAACTTAAACATCAGGTTTCGTGATGGGTAAACATTCTTGTCTACGCTTTTCATTAGGTTGATCAGTAAGAAGGAAAACATCATTTGCTACATTTTTTTTGCAGTCAAAACAAGAGTAAGAGAAGAAGAATAAAGCAACAGAAATAGTTTGCTTAAATGAAACAACTGATGATGAAAACTTCATTAATTCGTTAATCAAGTTATAATGTTCTATGCGATGCACGAACCATAAATTTTCAGCGTCATCGGTATTATTTCCCTCCTTCAAATTGCCCATCTTGTCTTCCTTCTCAGTGATGGGCGCCATATTGGATTAGTGAAAGCCCGTACCAGAATGTCATTGCGCATGCGCACAAACACGGAAAAGAATCCATGAGACGATGATTCATTCATGATGTCATCAAAATTGTATGTCTAAATCAATAACTAATTTTTTTTCAGAAACAACGTATGCATTGATATGTGTTGTAAATCGATTATTTTCTTAGCAAAGTAAAACATATTTTATATAACATTAGTAGCTATGATTAGATTAGGTACTAGGATAAATTTTTAATATTGTTTTTTTAGGGAAACAACTACTACAGTTAAAAGGAGCAGAAAATTACAATAACAGAACAGTTTTCCTTTTTGATGTAGCTCAAACGGTTAAATAGTTATGATTTTTTTTCGTATTAAAAAATGTGATTTTTTTAACATAGGATTTTTTCCAATTTCTGTGATAGAGTTTTTTTAAGCGTTTACTAAAATTGTCCTAGCTTGTAAACCATATGGTCAAATTTGTTATAACTTTGCAATGTCTTTATTTATTATATATGGAAGCATAATAAACAATAAAATTAGAAATTTATGGGCAGAGTTAAACAAAAACAGAAGTAGAACAGGGTACCCCCCCTAATTTTTCATATACAGTGCATTCATACAATCTCAGTTAAAATTTTAACTATTCCAAAAATTAAGCTCAAACTTGCTGAGAATGTTGAGCTATGGATGTGTCAGTTATTACAATCAAAATAATATTCATAACTGAAAAGTTTTTTGTTTTAACTGCTACAAAGCTGATAGATTATGCAATTTCGCAAAACCGAAGTCTTGTTGATGTGAAATGCAACATGATGGCAAATTTGAGTTATTAAGCACTTAAGTCTCAAAATTTGCCTGGCTCTAGATGACTCTATTCTTAAACAGAAACAATCAAAATATGTGTTTAAATCTATCTGTTTGACAAAAAATAAGGGGTGGAACAGGGTACACCCCCTATTTTTAAATACGAAATTTGTTCATACAATATCAGCTTAGGTCCAAACTATTTGAATCTAAAGCTAAAAACTAACTAGAGTGAAGCTCTGAAATAAGTGTGTTTGATGGTTCTATCTAAATAGTTGACAAATAGGTAAAATATGGTAAAAAGGTAAAACGCTGAGTCATCAACGCTCCTGACATAATTGAAAAACTGAACTAATATATGTAAATAAAATTGATGGCAAATTAGATCTATTAGAAATGTAAGGCCTTTTATTTGTATAAATGTAATTAACTTGTTAGTCTACTTATATATATAGTTTAATTAAAAAATTGTGTTTCTGTCTGTTCATTAGTATTTTACATTTCAGAAGAAGTTCAACATAGGTTGGTTTTAACATGATATAGAATCTAGAACTAGTTCATATTACTAAACTTCAATGTACTGCTTCAAAATTTATTTAAGTTATTTTAAAAAATATTACTTAATTTATCTAAATAAAAGGTGAACACATTTATTGTAATAGTTTTAATTCCTCTTTACAGTGTTCCCTCATTAGGCCATATAACTGCTCATCATATCGTAGAGATGTGCTGGTTTTAGAAGTGTAGGTTCTATCTGGAAAAGTAAACAGTACATTATTTGCTTTCACATCAAAATAAATAAAATGGTTTTTCTACACACTAAAATTAAATATTGAACATTTATTGCTATTACCGCTACAAACCTCCCCCCCCCCCCTCTACTCCACTACCTTCAATATCAAAACAGCGTTTGCCACTATCGCCGGCGGCAAAACATCGTTCGCCACTATCGCCGGCGGCAAAACATCGTTCGCCACTATCGCCGGCGGCAAAACATCGTTCGCCACTATCGCCGGCGGCAAAACATCGTTCGCCACTATCGCCGGCGGCAAAACATCGTTCGCCACTATCGCCGGCGGCAAAACATCGTTCGCCACTATCGCCGACGGCAAAACATCGTTCGCCACTATCGCCGGCGGCAAAACATCATTCGCCACTATCGCCGGCGGAAAAACATCGTTCGCCACTATCGCCGGCGTCAAAACATCGCTCGCCACATTTTTTTTTCTATTACCTCCCTTGCCACTTTCGCTTTCATATTGTAAACAAACGAATTTTTTTATAGAGGTAGCAAATCTGTGCAGCATATAACTTTTGTGCGCTATGTCCAAACAACTTGATTTTTTGAAACAATAGAGAAAAGTGGTGTAGAATTCATGTAAAGCAATAAAATTCCTGTTTATTATAAAAATAAACAGTAGGGAGTAAATTAAACTTACCTTATTTTCACTAAAACACTCCATCTTGAATAATCCATGCACAAAATTAAAAAAACAATGAAAACGCAAAATGTCCATTTTTTATGAAAAATCGGCAATCGCACGAAAATTGATCGGGCGATAACACCGAGCGATAAAAATTACGAAACTATAGCATTCGCGTAGCCGCAAATTCTCGGCGTCTGGGTAACGGGGACGAAAAACTCGCCGCGCGGGGTAAAACGAGATGTAATCCTAGTACCTAGATTAGATGCTGTTTATGTCAATGCTGAACAATAACTGCGGCTAGCTATTTTAAACTGCTGGTATTTATATAACAAAAGTTATCAATCAATGGCATTTGGGTATGGACCATAAAATATTAGGCCTATTGCAACAGTTGGTTCAAGATAGGAAACAGCGGGTGCCTAAAGCTTTCAACATTGAGATTTGAGATTGCGAAACAGTCATAATACATTCCAGCCGAAAAAAAAACTGGGGTGACAACCGATGACAGTGAACTAGGGAAAAAAAAGGAAATTATTTCATAGAGTGTATTGACAATAAAAAGTATATCAGTTAAGTACAAAGCCGAAGAGACACACTCTCTTAAATTGAGACCCATCAGCTAGAATCTAGATCAGGGGTCTCCAAAGTTTTCAGCTCGAGGAGTCCCCCCACCCCCCAACAAAATATAATTTAAACAGAAATATATACACATTTTAAGTGCCCCCACACCTTTCCCCGACCCCCCCCCCCCCCCCCCAAGGAGAAAAAGTCTGAAAGAAACGATGTCGGGGGCCGACAACACACTCGAGTTCCAAGTTTGTTCTCCTTGGGCAAACACAAAAAAACCCACCCGCTTGCAATTCAATGACCTCCACCACAGTTCATCTAGGCAACTGGTTACATTGGCTTCAAATGGGTTTTGAAACATTCTCACTACTTCTGCCTTTGAATCCTAGTCAGAAAACCGCTACTGAAACTGCAGCTGGTTTGATGATCTCGCATGCAAATGATGTGGGGAACAGAGCTGTTGCTTCAGCCATAAAGACCTTGCACTGCTGAAAGTGCGTCAAGTTTTTGGCTTGTACTTGTCCAAAAACACGACAAGTTTGTATCTGAAGGCCTTTAGTTGGGTGTATAGATCAGAAACTAGATTTCCCTCTCTTGTAGCTTTAGCTTCAGAAAATTTAAATGACTAGTTATGTCTGCAGCAGAGGCCAATTTCTAAACCCGCTATTTATCAGACATTAATGGCTGTAGCTTGTCTTTACTTTCCAGGAAGTCACCTATTTCCGTTCTTAACTTACATACTTTTCTCAGAACTTTCTCACAACTTAGCCATCTTACTGCTGTATAATAGGGTACATCTTGCGATTCTGTATGTGTATCTTTCAATATGTCTCTGACCTGTCTGTGGTAGAGCCCATGTGACCTTATCAAATTCACCATGTTCACCACAGTATTCAGTGCACTATTAGTGTCCACACATTTAGCACACAAAGCTTGCTGGTCAATAAGACCGTGCAGGTACATTGGATGTAAAATATTTTCTCATTCGCTTGTCCAACCAAGCCTTTCTTTATGCCACTCATGTACTTTCCTCCATCAGCAGTCAGGTAACTGAGGTTAGTCCAGTCCAAGTTATAATTAGCAAATATTTTTTAACTCATTGAATATATCATCTCCGGTAACAGTGTCATACATGTTATGTAAGGAAGCCAGCGTTTGTGTTACGTTATTGTCTTCATCCACACCTGTAATGAACACAAGCAGTTGAAAGGTTGAACAGCTGTCCAGCGACTCATTCAATGCAATTGAAAAATTGCGAAACTTGTTTGCATTTTTTACTATTTGAGTCACAATGTTTTCGTTAATGTCTGCAACACGGAGGGCAATGGTATTTACACCCAAAGCTACTTTTTCAAATTGTTTTGAATTTTCTGGGCAAAGTTCCTCAGCCACCTCTAACAAACATTTTTTCCGAAGACAAAAAGATCACCGCGGGCCGGATAAGAGTACCTCGCGGGCCGCATCCGGAGACCCCTGATCTAGATGGACAAACTCGCCATTTAGACGCCATCTCAAACTACCACAATTATCTCGAGCCCCGGGCGCCGACCCTAGAGGGGGGCGTCTAAATGGGTAGAAAAAAAATGTAAAAGCTAATTTTAAGCTTCATTTTTAAAATTACAAACAGTTTAAGTTAAGAAAGTTGACCGCAACCAGCAGTAGCGTAGCGAGGGGAGCTGGCGGGGGGGGGGGGGGGGGGGCATATGTCCCCGGGCGCCGACCTTAGGGGGCGCCAAAATGGGTTGGAAAAATAAATTGAAAGGTTGAGGGGGGTGCAAATCGAAAGTTTGAGAGGGGGGGTGGGGGGTGGGGGGGAGGGGTGCAAATCGAAAAGTTTGTCCCCGGGCACCGGGAAGGGTCGCTACGATTCTGGCAACCAGCCTTTACATAGTGAATTAACTGTTTTCTTCCTTTGTAAATGTAAACCATATACCCTTAAAAAACAGCGACCGGCAAAAATCGCTTACAGCTTTTCCTAGATGAGGGGAGGGGAGCGCTTTTTCGACTACTAAAATCGGAAGGCTTTACCTGGATAGGTGAGTAGATAACTTTTATCACTTAGAAAAAGAAAATAATTGTACTAAAGCGTTTTGTGTACGAGTAAAATAATAAAGAAGGTGGTGGGTGTTGGCGCTTTTTCGACAATGTAAATGGGAAGGATTTACACTGGAACGGTGAGTAGATAAATCGTATTAACGGGTAAAGTATGAATTCTCTAGCCGGTTT